AGCCAGTGCCAGAATGTTGTTATCACCAGTGGTGACTAGGAGCATGAGTTAAACAGAACTTTTTTTTTTAAATACCGACTAAACACTGAGTTATAGCTCTGGTTGTCTAAACCATGCTTCCCTTTTTTTGAGTTCATTACTTCACATGGCGTATATCCGTAAAGTTCTTGATTTACACCCAAAAAAGCTGATATAGTTCATGGCAGTGGAACACTGTTTGAAACATCAGCTGACAGCTTTGATAAATGTTGATGGCTGTCATTTGTAGCGGCAGATGTAATTGCTGGAGGAATCTGATGAGTTGTTGTCCCTCCCTCTCTGGCTGGCAATTTCAACAAGGCCAGCCCAGCAATCAACATACAAGTGACTGATTTTAGTAGTTGAGTGCTCCCTGCTCTAAAGCAGGGTTGACTGGCTGTGATTGTTATGAAACCTGATGCAGCTATGCCTTGACTGAAGGAGATTGATCAGCCAGCTGATTACCTGATTTTGTCTGTTGAGTGAATTTGATGGTCTCAGTGCCTATAAGAAATAATGATCTGACTGTTGGTGACTAGCCTGTGTAAAAGGCATAGCAGGGGAAGAGGATTGAATTTTGACTGTCTGTGACTGGTCAAACAATAGTTGATTAGATTATAATATCACATTTGTGGAAAAATCACTTCATCATTTTGGAACATCGCAGATCATAGATGTTGCTATTGAAAATGTTTGTACCTTCGACAATATGAAAGTAAGGATCGTTCATTGAATCATTGCTATTGCGATGAAAAGTAGGAGAACATCACAACAGCTAGAAGTCAACAGTGGACTGACTAATAGCAGATAAAGTTGATTGGTTGTGGAGAAGGTGGATTGCTGTTTGTAGTCATTGTTACTGGTCTTGATTATTACCTGAAAAGTTTGTCATTGAAGATGAAACTGATTTCAGGAGCTGCAGAATTGTCAAAGCTGATCAGTTACAAGAAAGGTTCATATCTGGAGAATTTGACATTCCAAATTCCAGAAATTGTTTAAACCAAAGTGGTCATTAGTAGCAGCTGAGTACAATCTGTTCTCTGTGTCGACCATTGAGGAGAGAAAAATCTGCAAAGATATTCCAGAAGGATATTCTGAAGCTGGTTCATGGTACTTGTTTCTGGTATTTTAACAGTGGTGAAAGATGGTTCTTGGTCATTCTGAGTATTTCATTATAGGAGGCGCCTGATCCTTGGAAAAACCTCACATCAGGGTGTTGCCTAGGTAATTATTACCTTGGTAACTGGAGATGGCGTAACCCCATACTGCGGTTTGGGAGCCCAGTTGGCATAGTGGTAGGGCCAGTATTGAAATTAAAATGCTGCTATAATTGTAACATTACAATTTGAGGTTTGAGTGGTCAGAAAGTCGAAAGTTGAAAATTTTTAGGAGCTATTTGTTCCTCTTCAACATGTGCTGATGTTTGATTTAATATACGGTATTTTTTTATGCTAAGGTACCTGTATTTTATATTAACCCTAAACCCCCTAGGCTGTGAAAAATCATTAAAATTTGATCATCTTGGACTGTTAGATTAGAAGTATTAAAAAATGCAATTGTGTAATACCTATTTAGTATTTTATTGTAACTTGCAGGTTGATAGGCTAACTAATTAAGCTTTACTTTATACTTGCAAAGTTATGCAAACTGGAGGTGTTATCATTTTTCATGTACATGTTTGGAATTGATGGGGGAGGAATCTTGCGAAAACAGCCTACAATAATGTTATTTAAGTAACGTTTCATAACTGTGCAAAGTTTTCACTTTCTTGAAATGGACATATGTGGTTTTTTTTTTTTTTTTTTAAATTCTTTATTGATTCTTTCCTTATTCTTCAAGTTAGCGGAATTTTCTTATGTGCCTGAGGTTCAGTGGGGGAACCTGGGCTTAATTTCTACTTGAATTAGTTTGTAGAATTTCTAAATCTGAAAAAATAATTGTGCTATACTTTAGGCTTTTAAATATACAAAATATTTTTTTTAAATATACAAAATAAGTAGGCCCATTTTGCGATACATTGATGTCTGGATTTTGAAACCATTCGTTGAGAGAATATAAGTTATTAGCATTAACTGTAAGATTTTGTGAAAAGAACATTTCTTTTTTTTAATAACAGTATTTTTTTGGGGGGGGGGTTAACCCTTTTATAGTAAGTCATCACTAGGAAGATAATTTTGATGCAGTCCTTGACTCTGTCAACTTAATAATGCACGTCTTCAACGATACTGGTAAATCCACATGGCTTCCATGTAAGATTTTGTGAAAAGAGCATTTATTATTTTTAAACTTTTTTTGGGGGGGGTAAATTATGGTGAGTCATCGCTAAGAAGATAATTTTGATGCAGTCTTTAACTCTGTCAACTTAATAATGCACGTCTATCAGTCTTGAACGGTATTGGTAAATCCACATGGTTTCCTTGCCATATCAGGAATATTTTTGCGTACCGATTGATGACGAAATACCTCAAACTGTTTCTGTCTAAGGACTTACTTGATTGTAACTACCATCATCAAAGACCCATCATGACCTGTCCCAACTGTGTCTGTCTAAAGACTTGCTTGGTTGTAACTACCATCATCAAAGACCCATCATGTCCTGTCCCAACTGTGTCTGTCTAAAGACTTGCTTGATTGCAACTACCATCATCAAAGACCCATCATGTCCTGTCCCAACTGTGTCTGTCTAAAGACTTGCTTGGTTGTAACTACCATCATCAAAGACCCATCATGACCTGTCCCAACTGTGTCTGTCTAAAGACTTGCTTGGTTGTAACTACCATCATCAAAGACCCATCATGTCCTGTCCCAACTGTGTCTGTCTAAAGACTTGCTTGGTTGTAACTACCATCATCAAAGACCCATCGTGTCCTGTCCCAACTGTGTCTGTCTAAAGACTTGCTTGATTGCAACTACCATCATCAAAGACCCATCATGACCTGTCCCAACTGTGTCTGTCTAAAGACTTGCTTGGTTGTAACTACCATCATCAAAGACCCATCATGTCCTGTCCCAACTGTGTCTGTCTAAAGACTTGCTTGATTGCAACTACCATCATCAAAGACCCATCATGTCCTGTCCCAACTGTGTCTGTCTAAAGACTTGCTTGGTTGTAACTACCATCATCAAAGACCCATCATGTCCTGTCCCAACTGTGTCTGTCTAAAGACTTGCTTGATTGCAACTACCATCATCAAAGACCCATCATGTCCTGTCCCAACTGTGTCTGTCTAAAGACTCGCTTGATTGTACTACCATCATCAAAGACCCATCATGTCCTGTCCCAACTGTGTCTGTCTAAAGACTTGCTTGGTTGTAACTACCATCATCAAAGACCCATCATGTCCTGTCCCAACTGCGTCTGTCTAAAGACTCGCTTGATTGTACTACCATCATCAAAGACCCATCATGTCCTGTCCCAACTGTGTCTGTCTAAAGACTTGCTTGGTTGTAACTACCATCATCAAAGACCCATCATGACCTGTCCCAACTGTGTCTGTCTAAAGACTTACTTGATTGTACTACCATCATCAAAGACCCATCATGTCCTGTCCCAACTGCGTCTGTCTAAAGACTTACTTGATTGCAACTACCATCATCAAAGACCCATCATGACCTGTCCCAACTGTGTCTGTCTAAAGACTTGCTTTAAATAACTACCATCATCAAAGACCCATCATGTCCTGTCCCAACTGCGTCTGTCTAAAGACTTGCTTTAAATAACTACCATCATCAAAGACCCATTGTGTCCTGTCCCAACTGTGTCTGTCTAAAGACTTGCTTGATTGTACTACCATCATCAAAGACCCATCATGTCCTGTCCCAACTGCGTCTGTCTAAAGACTTGCTTTAAATAACTACCATCATCAAAGACCCATCATGTCCTGTCCCAACTGCGTCTGTCTAAAGACTTGCTTTAAATAACTACCATCATCAAAGACCCATTGTGTCCTGTCCCAACTGTGTCTGTCTAAAGACTTGCTTGATTTTAACTACCATCATCACAGACCCATCATGTCCTGTCTTAAATGTGTCTGTCTAAAGACTTACTTGATTGTAACTACCATCATCAAAGACCCATCGTGTCCTGTCCCAACTGCGTCTTTCTAAAGACTTGCTTGATTGTAACTACCATCATCAAAGACCCATCATGCCCTGTCCCTTGCCCTCCTCTTTCCCCTTGCTCATGCAAGTTATTCCTGAGATCCAAGCCTGGCACACTACGACTAAATTGGCAAGGTTTCCTGAACGACTCGAGAAAAAAAGTATTCTAGACGTTGAATTTTGGCTTCTCAAAGTAGTTTGTACCACGCTGTCAGTAAATTGATTGTTTAATGTTTTTACGAAACAAACACACTTTTTTTCATTTTAATTTTCATTTTAATCCTGGGTTCAGTTTGCTTGTTTGAAACTAACAATCTGTACTGTGGGGATTGCAACCAAAGTGAGCTATGTGTGTATCTTTTGTGTTTATAATGTCTTTAGCCCAATTGCTAGTGACATTAGAGAGGGCGTCTTCAGACGGCTGGTTTTGACCCTTATTTTTGTAACCGTTTCATTGAAAGCTTCTCTCATCAGCTAATTAGAAAGAAGTTTCAAAACTTTATTTCAAATTCATAAAATGGATATCTTTTACTGAATTATTATTTAAAATAAATTCCAAAAATCAGATGTGGTGCCAAGAATAATTATGGCTCTTGCTAAGAAAAAATGAATGTCTTTATTCCCTTTACTTCATCCTTAACTCACAATCTGAAGCTTAATATCGTGATTATTTTAATATAAATTTCGTCACAATTTCATGCAGACATGCATGCATTGTTTTCCCGCAATAGTTCTCGTGCAATTAAATTTAAAAAAAACTTCGGGCACGATAAGACAGTGTTAAAACCAGCCGTTTGACGTGCAGATATTGTAACTTGATCTAAACCTAATTTCAATCTTCAGGACACTCTGATGGCTTATAATTTGTTTTCCCTCATCAGATGACTGATCACATGACTGAGATGCTGAGTCCTGGTGGAGGTTTCCTTGGTCTCATTTGGAAGACTGCTGACAGGACTTGGCTGGACTGGATCAAGTGGCTGCTGTTGGAGCAAACTTTGAGCAAATCCTTGGCAATGAGAGGTCCCAATCCAATCATACAAGATAATATTCCGAGTCTAAAAATTTAAGCAAGGAAAGAGAAATACCAGACAAGAATAAATCACCTTTTTCCAATAAGAAAAGTTCGCAGTTAGAACCATGTAACGAAACTCTTTTGTGAGTTAGTGAGGTTCTTTGCCATGCAATCCTTCAATTGTTATCTCATGTTTTTCCCAACTATTGTGAGGCAGCACATGTACTTTCATTGCCAAGGGTTTGCTCTTATGATTGATTAATTTGAATTAGTTGTCCAGGCACATGTCACAAAAGTCTGAAATGTTTTCAAAATTAATAAGGATAAGCACATTACAACCCACCCCTCCAAAAAACCCTCCACTCCTTATAACGTTTTTGTTAAGACGTAAAGTTTGAACTCGTGCAAAAGTACAAACCTTATGAATTGCATTAACTGTGATGCTCTCTAGACTTTTCATTTTTGATTCCGAGTGTTTGTAACTCAAAATGAAGGTCTAAAACAGACAAATTTGTTGACATGTGCCTGGGCTGTTGTCTTTAACTGAAAAAAAGTTAAGCTGAAAATTGATAATTGTATAGATCTACAATGGCACATTATAATCATTGATCAATATAAATTGATCAATTTGGCAGTTTTATAAATGTTAAATTGTAAACAGAGGTATGCAGATTATATTAATAACACATTAATAGTTGAATTCGGATGTGATGATGTTCTGTTTGATCTCTGCCATTGTATCCTTTTTACTGCTTGATTTTTGATAATTTTGGATGGCAGTGATACCATTTGTTTAAATATATACTTTGAAATCATGAAATATTTTATCAACTTAACTGTTAATGAATCTGTTTCCGACATTTCAGAGAAAAGAGTTCTATTAATGAGAAGAAAAAAAACAATGCATGACCAATTTTTATTGAGGTAAAGAATGTAACATTTTGTATTTTTATATCATGCCTTTAGTCACAAATTGAATGTATTTGGCAAGGTAATATTTATTGGTAAGGTAATATATTATAATGTGCCATTGTAGATTCATTTGCTACTTTAATTAAAATGAGGTTTCTGTGGTGTGATGGTGTTTTTCTTTTGGACATATCTGCTGTCTATTTGTACAAGTTTGCAGCACAGAACATTGCTATCATATCCTGTTGGATAAATTCCATATTTTCTATGCTACGATTCAAAAGAAATTGGTTATACAAGTATACAAGAAGGGCTAATTTGACACAATTTACTGCAGAAACAGCGAAAAAAATTTAAGCTATTCGTGGATTTCAGTATTTCAAGGAAAAAGTACAAATTTGGCAATTTGAAATTTGAAAACTAGAAAAATTTAAGTTGTATTTTTAAGATTTTTTTCTCAAGACACGTTTTTCGTTTGCAATAATTATGTTTGCGAGAAGAAACAAACGCATTATCTAAGACTTGCTGCAAATTTGATCTAAGTAGACAGCAGATATGTCCTTTGGATGTCGGAGAGTGGGGGGGGGGGGGGTCTTGATTGGGGTTTAACTTAAAAACTTTTTGAAGGGCGCCCTCTTGTGATCTATTTATTTTTTAGATGGCAATGTGTGGGTTGCCCACTTCGGTATGGGACACTAAATTTTAAAATGAAAACTGTCACAAGAGGGCGTCCTTCAAAAAAAATAGTTGAAATTTTTTCTTGGCACAAGAGGGCACCCTTCATAGTACCGAAAAGTTTAAGTTGAACTTTGCGTATTTTAACTTGATTTTTTAAATAAGTTAAAATTGTAAAATATTGGGGCGCCCTCTTTGTGCCAAGGGGAACTTGAAAAAATATTCTAATGTAAATGGCGCCCTCTGGTTATTTCATTTGAAATAAAAACTTATTTGCTATCGGAATAAAATACAAGTGAGACATGTTAATTTGTATTTTTTTTTTATTTGACCTTGAACTTGAACTTGGCCTTGGCTTTGAACTTGAACTTGGTCTTGAACTTGACCTTGAGCTGACCAAAAAAAAAACCCAACGCATACAAGTCCCCCGAGGCGTGCACGCATGGTGTTCCCCGCCCACAGACACCGACAAGTCCAGCGAGTCGCCCTCTATCTACATCAACTCATGATCAGTTGATCTTAGTGCACACTAACTCCCCAAACTTGCAAGTCCAAATAATCACAAATGACTTGGTTAACTCCAACATGATAAGGATCCTTATGAACTTTAACAATCAGTTTACTTTTCCGACAAAGTCAATGCCGTATTAACCATTTCAATTACTAAGTATTGCCATGGAAATTGTATACCAACTATCACTCCAAAAATTGCCAAAGTAGAAATCGCTCTCACATCTACTTATGATTGTCTCACTCAACATTTCCGTTGTTCACTGTTGCATCATGGTTCTGATCCCTTTGAATGAAATGCAATACAAACAGATTACAATTTGCCAGCTTTCTCTGATATTTCCAATGCAATAAGATTTTAGGGCATTTATCTCAACCACCATTTATATAAATAACTCCATGATATAACTCTGAAATCTCCCTGCCGTTTATCGCATCAACATGAACAGTAATCAGTTCATCTCATGAGTGTGTCGTCAGATTTTTACAAGTAATTGTAAGTATGTTTTAGCTTTAGACAGACATGCACAATTAAAGGTGAATTGGTAAAGGCTGACACCAATTCAGTAAATGTCAATTGCAAAATGCAAATAATTTTTGCAAGTAGGTTTCACTAATTTATACGTTCAAACATGACCACATTTGGCAGCTTGTTTCTTATGTATTGTTGCGCATCAAACTTTTTATCAGATTCACAAATGTATGTTAGAATGATCACAAGGGGTAACAAAAGATATTCCGAGTACTTTGATGACTTTTGGCAGCACTACATTGTATTTCTAGTTCTAAGAACGTCTACTTTTTGCAAGACATTTAGTGCAAACTCAAAACTGCACTATTTAATGGTTGCCTGAAAGTCAATGTTACAATAAGCGATTGAAAATTTATTGGAATTTCACGTACCGGTAACTAGTCTTTTTCTAATTAGGAAGTGGGAATTATTGCAAAATTTCAAACATATTTAGTCAAACTAGTCCAAATTCAAAGCAACAGTTCACTGCAGTAACTTGATTTGTTTCAAACTGAGTTTTTTGGATAAATATTGTATTCAAAGCTTTTGGCCATTTTGCCAAGTATACACACACTTTGAAAGGTTGAAGTTCTGACATTTGTATGAAGTCTTTATTTTGAATGAGCAAATACCGGTCGGTATCTTACTAGATTTTTCTCTTAGGAAAGAGTAAGTGGTCCAAGTAACTTTTCATTGTGCCATCATCGATCTTCAAGAAAACTAACTTCATTTTTAATTAGTGGATTGAATTCAAATATTACAATTTGAATTTGACCAACATAGTTTGATTGGGAATTTAAATAGTTACAAAGTTAATTAGATTGAAAAAAAAAAACTTTTTAAAAATGTGCAGATGATTTTCTTGTAACTGAGTACATGCTTCTTTTTTCAAGATTTCTGGCCAAACTCTTAGCAAATCAGTTTTTTCAAAACTGACGTTAGCCATAATTTTTGAAATATGGCACAATTTTTGCATATTGTAAACAAACATGTGACACAAGATTTTGTGTTCAAGAGTTTTGGACATTTTTGTAATATTTCTCTCTCTTTTTTTTTAAATTTGGGAGGTTGACGTGCATCTTTTTAGAAGAACCATGCTGTTCCGTGGCCAATGTTGCAGTGGCGTAGCAAATGGGGATGGGAGGGGCCTTCCATGTGATACAGGAAGGGGGCTGTCTGTCCGATTGGACAAAAAGATTTCAAAATCCGTACTCGGCCTTTTTGGGCCGACATGTATAAAAATACATGTACATGTAGCTGAGAACATGTATAGTGAACATGTGCATCCAAATGGTCAAAATTACACACATGTTCTCTAGTTTGCCCAACATGAACATTTCTGGGATTTCCATTTGTCCCCTCCTGTTTTCTTGTGGCCCCTCCTTCATTCTAGCTACGCCACTGTTGATGTGGTGGCAATCTGCCCCTCAGCATCCTCAGAAGCTGTGGCATCATGACACAGGGACAGTCTTGTCCCGCCATCCATGGTCAAGTTTAATTGAAGTTTTCATTAATTCATGCACTGTACAACGACAACATACATCCTCATCTGTTTTGCTCGCTAAACCTAAATGTGTATCATGGCATTTCAGAGTAAACATACTGCTACATGCCTACATTACAACAGATATTGCACATTTATGCTCACATGCAAACCTAGGCAGGCCCCAGGACAAATGAATAAATGGCAGTTTCTTAGATGATGATGGATTCACGACATAGTCAACACGACATAATCAGACCCTACCTTTAATTTCCACACCATTTATAAGTGTAGGCCTACATGTACATTATTTTATACAGGACAAGACATTTTCTTGGTTTCATCACCACCAAGGAATGGATCATATTACTCCAATCTTAGTTTTCAATTTCGAAAAGATCAATCATTCAATTTCTTCATGTAAATCATTTGCATGTACCTGCAGCATTTGCAGAGACTGTACATGTACATGTACACATGACATTGCCTACATGTACATGTATAAACTCAATATGAGAGTATTTCAAGGGGCCGGCCTGTATACATTGTGCAGGCTATCTACACATCTCTAAGCTTTTTTCCCCCATTTTCTTTGAAACATTAAGTAGTGAATTGACTTTTTCCACAGTCTTTTTGCACTGTTCTTTTTGCCTTCTGTCCTGGCAAGTCTGACTTTATTTTTCAAGTCAAACATTCAACGACGGTACGACACCTTGAATATGTGGCACAGAATTGCAGTGAGACACTGATGACTTAACAAACGAGTTTGTTTTCTCAGATTTGTTTTTAGGAAATTTTGCTTTCTTTGTAAATTGTAAGTACGGTCTAAAGTAATTCCACTGGAAAAGCAGAACTGCAACAGCAAAGTTCTTCCATGTATCTGTTCCATGTACATGTATCTGTTATTCTAGATATCTGATCACCGAAACTGCCAATTTTGTATTCAAGGTTTATTCTGGGGCCTGCCTATAACCACCTTTTAAGACAAGACAGAACATTAACTTCAAACCTTTGACATGAACATGTATACAATTTGAGATTTTTTTTGATTGAACCTACATGTACCCTAGAGAAATTATGAATTTTGCAACTTTTCCTGTCTGCAAACATGTCCATAAAAAAACATGTCTTTTGCCTATCCAACTTTTCTAGAAATAAGGTTCATTTATTTTGAGAATACAAGTATGGACTTAATTTGGGGGTTGTACGTATTGACCCTGTGAAGATAAAAAAAAATAACCCCAAGTATATTACTAACTAAGGACAATATATACTGAAATCATGGCACTAAGTTCAATTTCATACTCACTGATATTTTCCGAGAACTGCAAGTCACTTGATTTCATTTTTAATACAGTTATTAAGATATCCTAATTCATGTATTAGTCCTTTCACTGATTGAGTCACGAAAAGATGTAGATCAAATCTGAGACTTAAGTCAAGTGCCTGGCATTTTTACTTCGAAAATCGGCCCTGTCTGGTTTCTCACAAAAGTGTAGTGTCTCACAGTTTAACTTGTTTTAATTTATGCAAGTTTGTTTATTACCCAATTTAACCTGGTTATCAGTGTTTGACGCTACAATGATTTGTCATCATTAATCACATTAATGCGCAATTTATGTCCTGGTTTTATTGACTATTTGCTCTGCACAACTAGTCACTGATTTTCTGAGTAATGGTCTGGCTTGTTCATGGGAAACAATACTAAGTGTTAAATGTTAAAAAACGTTGACTTTTAGAAGAATACAATTTTGCAAATTTCCTGAGGACCTAATTTTAACCTGTTTTAATCACATTCATGTTCATTGTTTTTTCCTCCTGGTTTTATTGACTATTCACTCTGCACAACTATTCAATGATTTTCTGAGAAACAGTCTTCAGGTTTAACATGAAACAAGAACATATCCTGGAGTTTACATTTTCAATAATTTTTTGAAATTACTGACTACTGTCAATAACCAAAAGCACTAAGAATACCTGCATTCTTAACGACATTAACTGTCCCAACACAACAAACTATCCTACATGTACATGTACATTTTATCAACGCCTCTTGAGACAAAACTGATCTTAAACTGACCTGAATAATTAATTAAAGAACCTTGGACGTTTTGAACCCTTTAGTGACCACAGTGGCCTGAGGTGACCAGAACTGAATTGTCCGCAGTAGCCACACTGGACAAACATTTTCAACATTTTTTCAGCATCACATGAAAATTGACTGGTTAAAAAAATCTGATTGTACAACACTACAGGTACAGAGTGTCATTGAGATACAAGTTGAGAATTTGAATGTTTGAATTTGGAAAGTGACGCCTCACAATATTTGCATCATAAAATGCACATTGCAAAGTGCAATGCACAATGAGAGAAGTGTGGTCACTAAAGGGTTCAAGCATGGAGCATAGCTAGTCTTCAGTCTGTGGCAATACCAACATGTGTCCTGAAAGATCTTCACCTTATTTGACAAAATGAAACACAACGGTTACACCGTCATGCCAAAATGCAATATTCCTAACATTACCGGTTTGGCTGGGGTCAAAACTGAATAAGGTTATCAAAGTTTGTAAACAAATGCCTTTGGAAACTGTATTAGAAGTTACTTTCACAATCATTCTTACTTACAGTACTTAAGACAGCCATCTTGCTACAATCAATGGCTTGGCAATTTTTACTTTGTAAAGTTGCGAGTCATACCAGATAGAACAATTGCATTCCTTTTGCTGGCAATACAAAACAAATTGTTTCCATATCACTTTCGGTTTCAGAAATCTTTGAAGGATTTGTGAACAGTTTGCGGATTTGGTTGCATGAGAAATGAAACCAAACTCGTCCAACTCAGAGCAAACTTTTTTTAGTTTTGTAAAATCTACTCATCGATTTTACTTCTCAGCAAGAAATAATAAAATGGTCTGACATCTGATTAAGATTCAGTTACAGCTGTCTGAGGCCATGTTGTACATGAACATTGACATGTACATGTACAAAACGTATGCTCAATTTCAGAGTATGTACTAACTTAATTGGTGAGACTAGTCAGATGAAGTCCAGGTGAACTTTGCTTTGAGCTGAGTTCTCAGCTGCTATATTTACATTTTTCTTCCACAAGGCAGCGGACAAATGTCCACATACATCAACTGAAATAATATTGACAATCTGAACATTTAGAGCTAAGGTGAAGATCTTTCAGGACTCTCAAGATCACGTTCAAACGTTAAATGCCTTTTTTTGTTTTTGTAAAAGGCTATTTCTTTGTATACAAACGAGATACAGTTAGGATTTTTTGGTTGGTATGAGGCAATAACATTTGTTTTAGCTTCTATATGAGAACAGTGCACATATCTCACTTGCAACTGCACCTTGGCAGTAATATTCAACTTTTTTCATATGAAAATGAATGTTTCAGTAACACACTGAAAGAACGCAGCAAAACTATGCTGCTCAAATTACTCATGTGAGCTTTGCTCAAAAGGTTTCTCGCTTGAATCTAGGAAACTAGATAAATAATTCAACTTTTTTTGTAATCAGAAAGACAGTTTTTGCTGCAAGCCTAGAGTTTAGACTTCACTGAAAGGGAATTGCAGTTTAGGATCGCTCACAACACACATGGATGCTTGGGTTTCACTGCAGAGAAATGAACTCATTTGAAAAAATGAGATCACAAATTTATGATCACAAAAAGGTCCTGTTAAACAGAGACTTGGCAGGGGATTCCCCCATGCAACCACCTATCAGGTAGGTGATGAATCTATAGGAGGCTGCAGTGATTGCTCAAACCCAAGGTTTTATCCAATCATAGGATTGGAGTGCAGAGGTCACGACATTCGACCATGATTTGGGTAGCAGCACTTTGAGTACTTGCAGTGAGTGCTGAGTCCAGAAAGATTGAGTGAGAAGTTTGCACACCAGTGCACTGGTTGCATCTCTGTATTACTGTAGGACTCATTCGATCAATTGCCTTGATCAAATTTTAATTCTGAATGACAAATAACAGACCTACATTACTCTTAACTTTCACTTCTGTGTGTCAGATTAACGCTAATTGGTATTGCCACAGACTGAAGACTATAATGCACAATACTGTTTTCCTGTAATGCAGACAGATAGCGTTTACTCCTAGCCATGAGATACACATTCTACTGTAGGTTTAGCAAGCAATGAGGATGTACACAGTGCATGAATTCATTCTAGAAAACTTCAATTAAACTTACCATGGATCCATCTGGCAGGACTGGTTCCCTGTGTCTGACACCACAGCTTCTGTCTTTAGGATGCAGGGGGCCTTTTTTGTCCACCACATCTTCCATCTGGCCAGGAAGCAGCATGGTTCTCCCCCTCTGCACACCAGGACTTCTCCCCTACAATTTCAAGAGTTTGGCCTTCTATCCTTTTTCATTCTGACTTTATAATGTCTTTTCATTTCTATTTTATTTTTCAACTGCTCTTCTGATAATATGATGGCACTGGCCCATTCACCAATTTATTTATGAGACAAAATTTTTCTCATTTGTTTTCTGAAGTGCAAAGTGGTTTTTAAAAATGAGTTTAAGTTGCTTTGAATTCAGGACTTTCATTTTTCGATTTCGTTTCTTTTTTGGTTCAAACCAGAACTAGAATCTTGAATTATTTTAATTAGAAAAGTATTATACTTGATATGGCAAAAAGTTCCTTTTTTTCATCAAATTTAGAATAGTTGTTGCCAAAAAATGACAAACTTTTTAAATTATGGATTTTAGTGATGCATTAGATGCTGAATTAAGAGAAAATTTTTGACTTGTGCAATTTTATGCATCAGTTTTACTTTTAGCTCACTTATCATGTACAGCGCGATATGATTCAGTAAAGTTGTACTGATTTCATTTAGAGATTACTTCCCCATGTTTATCTGTGCATGTCTAAGATTGGAACACACTCAATGAGAGAACTGAATGAACATGTCAATACAATAAAAGGCAATGAGATTTCAGAGTTATACCATGGAAGTTATTCACATAAATAGCGGCTGAAACACCTGTCCAAAAATCCTATCATCTTGAAGAACATCAGAGGTACCAACAACAGTATCCATTTGTTAGCAGATCATTTGGATCAACATGATGCCATGGAACTATTGAAATGCAAGCAGGACATCAAGAGTAGATGCTCGATTGATCTCTAGATTTGCAGTCTCCAGATTGATAGATGGTACATAATTTCCACAGCAACACTCAGTAAGAAACGGCCAAAACGACATCTCCTTTGCAGAAAGGCAAACTAATTGTCAAAGTTCAAAAGGATCCTTACCATGTTGAAGTCGACCAAGTCATCCACGATTATCCAGACCACAAGATCAGGAAGCAAGCACACACCTTGAACAAAAGACCAATCGTCAATGCAGATAGGGGCAACTCACCAGACGAGCCGGCATCTGCGGGCGGGGAACACCACACGTGCACGCCTCGGGGGGACTTGCATGCGTTGGGCTCAAGTGTATCAGAACATTGCCTGTTGGTAAAATGTCAAGTATATATGGGATACTCAATAAATTATCATAAAAGAATTTACATTGTATAGCCAGCACTGGAAGCACATTTTTTCTGTTCTTTTTTAAAGTTAGGATAATGTTTTGATCATTTACATTAATGTGTTATTCAAATTGCCTGTCAAATGAACCAACAAAAACTGCTTTCTCAAAGTATTCAACATAGGTGTGTACACAAAAACACCTGCCTGTAATACACTGTCAAATAACAGCGACTTTGTTATTCTTACAAGTTTTGTTTTTAGTTTGAAATGGTAAACTTAGGGTTTGCTCAATTTTGATGAATTTGGAAAATGTGTGATATAGACAAAATGTTTCATTCAAACACTGCCTTTACACATTTGACCAGTGCTGACTATTCTTAATAAAATAAAAGCTGGGTACAAGATTGGTAGTGCTGCTGATAGTAGCTGCTAAATTATGATCAACTGGGAAATGTATCAAAGCTATCAAAAACCCATGCAGAGGTTGAAACAAATTTGGAGATTTAACAGAAAGTTGATTTTTGTACTCGTTTGCAATGTTGGGCATTTTAAAGTTAACAGAGAATTCCCGCTTTTGATGTCAGGACATTCATATTGTTTTTTTAATCTCAAACAAATAGCTTTTGGTTTAAATGCGAAACAACTGTTAGTCCAAAAGAGAGATTTTGGGCTCAATGTGTTAATTATAGAAAAATTTGGTTCAAAGAGATGTGTTTGCATTTGTGTGTCAAATTTTGTTCCAGGAAAACCAATCTTGCACCTAGCTACTACCAATCAGGCAATGCCATAAACAAATATTTCAGATAAAATATAAATTTAACGTAACCAGCTCTCTCTATTAAAAGCATAAAGCTGCATAATCAAAATTATTGGGAGGCAATGTTTTCCTCAGTTTGAATACGTTTTGAGTGAATCTGTCTTAAAGATTACGTACATTTCAGTTCTTTTGTAAATGCTCTCGGAAAAACGAGGTGAGGAAAAAGAAATGCAGCGCTGTAAATATAGTCAGTGGCTCTGCTTGTTGAGTGCTTTGGTGATAAGCTGCAGTTTCAGGCAAGTACATGTACATGTAAGTGGCGCCACTGAATGAAATTAAGGAAATCAATTCACCAGAAAAAAAAAGGATATTTATATTTTTAAGGCCTGAAAAGTTTTGCATTAAGAAGCTGGTTACGTGTAACATGTAGAGGCCTCTCGTCCATTTTGCAGTTCAATTTGATCTCAGCAATGAGTGACATCAACTTTGGATCCACAAAGAACAAATGTTTTGTTTTGAAGGATTTTGGATCAAAACATAAATTTCTTGCAGGAGAAAAATTCAGGGGATCTTGTTCCAAACTGTGTCAATAGGTGACAGTGGATTCGTCATGGAATACTGTGATTGAAGATTTTTATCAAGTTCTTTTCAAGAGTTTAGACTTCTGTAAAACTGTGGTTACCCTAGGCAACTCAGGTCACAGAGGTTAACTGTAATGACCTCCAGTGACCTCTTGGAGAGAGAGACCTCTACTTCTTTCACATAAAATGGTCGTTCACTTCAAGAGAGTTCCTTTTTCAAAAGAGTTCCGTTTTCAAAGCATGGAGTTCTGTTTCAAAAGAGCAGTCTCTGAAGACAAGTTTTGTGTCCAGCAGGAGAGATTTGTTGAGGAGGAAGTCATTCTGGAGCAATTCCTGTAGACTCCTGCTGGTGCTGGTCTACCTGTGGCTCACACATTCCATCCAGTCAATGCAGACAGGGAGCACCTATGAAGTGATATCGTTGTCGTTGAATGGCAACCCGGAAAAGAGAGATCTCCAGTGCATCTCTGACTGCTTCCTTGTTGGGTTTTAGGAGTCAGTGGCTGTGGTCCCACGTCTCAGATTTCCTGTGACTCAAACCGGAAAGCCCATCAGATCCAATGGCAGTACATGTAGCTTACAGTTCAGTGGGCAGCATGTTGTCGCGACGTCTGGCTGCGTTTCAGGCAGTAGAACTTTCCTTGACAGAAGTCGAGTGTCTAGACATGGTGTCTAAATGGGTGGGTAGTCATCCTGCTGTTTTCAAATCATGCTGGTCTAAGCTGCCAGGGTGGTGCTGGGTCATAGAGTCTGTGTGAAAAAAAGACAGATCTTTAAGAGACCTTTACTAAACTTTTGGGACGCCATAACTTCTGCAAACAATTGAATTGCTACATGTACATAAGCATGCGCGTACCCCTGACAATTCATCTCTGACAATGTCAGAAGAATAAATGTAACAGGATCATTTCAATGGAATAATTTAACCTTGGCAGGTACATGTAGAACGCGCCTTAAGGGTGCAACCCTGCAAAAAAATCCCTTAGACACTAGTGCTAAATGCGCATGCTTCAAAATTCTTTTAAAAATACTCAGAACTCTCACAGGTATTCAAGCTGCACAGAAAAATGATGATCAATGTGTCATCTTTCATTTTCTTTTCATTTTTGGGTGGGTTGACCTTTGACTTTTCGAGATATTCTCACCCAAAGAAGACGGCCCCTATTTTCCCCAAAGCGGAAAAGTAGCCATCTTGAAAAACGATCCCTCCACAACATGGCAAAATAGCGCCACTTTCGAGCCCAATAGCATCCAAAATGCTCAAAATTGGAAGCCCCAAGTCCGGGCCAGAGGTTCATTACCATATCTCTTCAATTCCCCAATTTTATGGCTCTCAAAACTCTCTAATATAGAATATTTTGAGGGTATAACTTTTATTCACAGGGATGTGATTGGTCTGTGACAAAAAAACCTGAAAATTTTATGCATGAAATGCATGCTCCGGCGAGCGCAAGGCCATTACGGCGTGGGGTCCGGGTCCGCTTAAAGGCCCCGAAAAATTTTTGATTTCAGATGCTCTGTGGTGCAATCTGAGGCAATTACTGGGCACTTTCCTCTAAAATTTTGGAGCAGAATTTGTTTTAATTTTAAGAAGAATTTTCCTTCCTTTGTTAAAATGTACTCTTGTTCTTATAAAGTTTCTTCTGTACTCAAAGTTGAGAACCATGCATTTTCATGTTACCTCGCCGTATTTGCCATGCTTTGATGTGCTTTGGATGTTTTACATGGGATACGCGGCATGCGTAGTTGATAATGTCGTTGCAAACATTGCAAAAAACCTTGCCAGCGGTTGCTATTTTATCTTGAAATTCATGCTGATGCCCGTCATTAATAACGGAGTCCCGAAACCATTCCCACCGGAACTTATTTTTCACTTCTTTATCAAGCTCTCGCACTGAAATCTCCTTGCGACAATATCGACTTGTCGGGCGCAGCCATTTTTGAAGGATTTCCGTTGGAAGCGCAGCATACGTACACAAACACTCCTAGCCGACGAATGTAAAACAACAACATGCATAAGGTTACAGACCAGTAAATAAACTTCCATAGACCCCAATGGTAAATGCTCCCACTTCAGAAATTCGGGAAAAATACTCACAACTCTCCAAGGTGTTCGAAACACACATCAAATTAAAGCTAATTTCATCATCTTTCATTTTCTTTTCAATTTTGGGGGAGTCAACTAATGACTTTTAGGAGAAATTTCCATCCGAAGATGATCACCACTGTAAATAGTCCTGAAGCCCATCGCCATTTTGAAAAACGATGCCTACACTCCATTGCAAAATAGAACGCTTTAAGGGCCCCAATTTCATCCAAATTGAACGGAACTACAAGCTCACAGTCCTGTGCACGGCTTCCATCCATATTGTTTACAAACTCTCAAGTTCATGGCCCACAGCATGCTCAAATTTTACTCAAGATTTTGAGGGCATGCAAATCGTGATTTGGCCGGCGTAGGCAGTTTCGGACAGATTTACTGGTCTGCAACCATAATCCACATGATTGTACTGTACTGTATGCCATTGTGCACGCTGAGTAATATTAGTCTGTACACAGGCGCGGATCCAGGGGAGGGCCGCGTGCCCCCCGTAAAATTTGAGTCCAAAAAAAAGGGAATAAAAAGAGGGAAAAAAGAGGGGGAGGTGAGAGAAAAGGAGGGAAGGAGGAGGGAACCTCCTTACAAAAATACCAGCGCCGATATTAAACATCAGCCTGCAAACATTGCGTACTCGACTCAAGAAGCTTCGAAATAAACCGTGATCCCATCGTACGTATACCCCGTACGTACGTACGTACGTATTACCCTGCATATACCGTTATTAAATGCGATTTATACGAACGTACACGATTTATTCTCTACGAACGTGCGGCTTATGTGCTATGCGCGACAAACACACGTTGTGCACTGCTCTTTGGACCACACCATTGGTCAAGGGTGTGTTTTAGTAAGAACAATTTGCCAGCAGTTCCACGCGCTTTTGAATTACAAAGTATACTTTTTCACGGAGTCCAAAACATGTCCTTGTTTTTAATTGACTTCTTCAACGTCACGTCATCATATAATTTTCGTAAAGACTTTATCCGAAAAACGATGTAAAACCCTGAATTTTTTTGAAATACCAGTCCTTCATTTTTAAGGAGCGCGATCGCGCAGGCGCTCCTACTGCGCTCCTTGACTGTCTTGAAGGAGCGCAAAAAATAGAGCTCCTCAAAAAATCCAAAAGAGGGCTCATCAAACACGGGAAGTTTAAATATATAAGAATTGATAAAAACGCCAAGGATTTTAAGTCTTTAGCTACACGTATTATTCATTTGTATTAATGCCCAAACTCACGTTTATTCAGTCTGCTAAATTTTGCTATATAAGAACGAACACTGAGCTCGTACATACCGTCAAAGATCGTGCGTGTACAGCGGTTGTATACTGTATGTGCACTATCTACATGTATATACATGTATATCACATTGAGCTACATGTATGAGCTGCATTGATGTATGAAAACACGTTGGCCCATACGTGCTAGTGCAGCAGTGACTGGTTCCCGCTGCGCCACGCACTATGGGCCAAAGAAGGCATGATGGAAATGCGGACACCAGCCAATGCAATAGTCGCACGTGGTGTGCCGGTGCATGCAAGTAGTCTAGTACAGTGTTTTGCATGCAGGGCGGACGGAATAGACATCGTAAAAATGCGAAGAAAACATCGATGAGAAAGACGATCTTTGCAAGCTAATTTACAGAACTTGATCTCTTTTGTCTGTGTATGTATTTCCCATGTTCATGAATTTATTTCGAGGAAGTACTACTGGTTTATGAAGTGAAACGATGCAGCGTGTTTCACCGAAAACTCATACCGAAAAATGAGGCTCATTCCCGGCCCACCACACACAGTGCATCACGCGGCACGCTCTCGTACCAAGCGAAGTTCAGACATTGTTAGACAGTTTCTCGTTGTGACTAGCATTGTGCATACTTGACCTGCATTTTCCATTATTTTTAAGATTATCGACGGCAAATATTTCGATAATACTTCAGGCTTGTTTTTGTCATTTTGAGGCCCTTTTTATGTAGCTTTCGTAGTGCAATGGAAATAGTTCAGGCTGAAAATTTTCATATAATTTTAAAGAATCTGAACACAAGTATTCAGTAGCTTTATGTGCCGTTTATTAACTCCATTTTCCAAGTACAATTAAGTGATGAACCAACTGACAACTGTATTAAAAAATGAAAGTGCAAGCAGTAGTCAAACCTTTTATTAATCTCCATTTAGTTATCTTTTTTAAAATAAATTTTACCTTGTCTTACTTTTTACAGTTACAAAAATGAAAGAAATAACACCACTTGAGCATAAACAAATAATAATGCAGCCCCTTGAATAAATCCTGATATTCAAAACAAAACAAAAACAATGTTAATCCGTCGTTTCACCTTTTGTTTATCCGTAGATTTTAAGGAGAGTGATTTGCTCTCCTCAAAAATTTGAGGAGAGCGATTTATAGCTCTCCTGGATTTTCTTTAAATGAAGGACTGAAACACCCCTGAAGGTCATGATGGATCCGTCCATAAAACGTTTTTTTTTAACGAAGAAAGTTGGGTTTTGACGTTACTACGCGTTGCAGAAAATACAAATCTGATAAGTTTGGTGCTTAAAACAGATCTGTTTGTTCTTAGGACAAACACAATCAGCAGTTCATTGCCCAAAGGCAAGTTTAAGCACTCGAGACATGCGAGACAGAACGCAGTGTGTTACTTTTTGAATTGCAAGCGAGATACATTTGATCGTAGTTCGCCGGTGGCGAGGCGGGCCGGCATCCGTGCCAGGCCGGGAGATGTACACCAATTCCTTATGTCTATTTGTCAACGTTATCATCAACATTTTTTTTTCACATAGCAAAATGACGAGTCCACCATCAAAATCATACCATGTGGAAATTGCAATCATGGCGCCGAAAGGCCCGATGTCTATTATCTGTAAAGACCAGACGCAATGTCTCACACAATTTGTCCTGCTGCGCCGCCGATCTGCCGATGGTTTAATTACAAATACATGCACGTGTAATAGGCCCAAATTCTTGAAATTACAACTGGACTGAATTAAAAGAACATTTCTTTAAAATGTTTGGGCATTTTACATTATGCAAAAAAGAGGGAGAAATTTGTATGACTGCATTTTTGAGTGGTCGGGCACAACCCGACCACTCTTTGGATCTGTTACGATTAATCTTTCTTTCTTTGAGTGGTCGGGCACAACCCGACCACTCTTTGGATCTGTTACGATTAATCTTTCTTTCTTTCTTTCTTTCTTTTTTTTTCCGGGCAATACTTCTCCACGGGTTTTCTCTTAAACGGTATATGGTATGAACTTGTAACTTTCAATATATATCGACCCTCATCCAAAGTGGTGCATATTACTCTGACGTCATGATTACGTCATCGGGTATCAAATTACAAGTAATTTAGGTGGAAAAGTGACCAATTACTTTCACCTATAACTCTTGAACTAAATAATCAATGATGTTTGTATTGTGCATTGAGATAGACCATTAATTGCTTAACATTTTTTGTCAGTACGCAAACTCCTTTGACCTTTACTTTCAGGTCTACCGGAAGGTCAAAGTTAGGTGAATTAAAAATGAAGACTTTAGCCTGAAATAAAAACAAAGCAAAATTTCTTCCGAATGGTTTACAGTACAATCACAAAAACTTGTGTGAACTTGTGCCATGCTACGAAGATGTTAGCCTATACATTTTGTTACGTCATCATGACGTTATCAGGTATCAAATAACAAGCGATTTAAGGGCAAATTTTGACAAAACAGTTTGTGCTATATCTTTTGAACTAAATAGAGTATCGTGTTCGTTTTTTCGTGAGGTTGTAGACTATGCCGTGAGAAACATTTCTTGTTCCCGGACACAAAACCGCTTGACCTTTACTTCCGGGGTTACCGGAAGTGCAATGAAAACTGAATATAATGCAAAAGTGGAAGCATTTTACTACAGACATATAAATTATGCAAATGTTTAGTGAGAAATGCAAGTCACAAAAACAGTGATGACGTCATAATCTGAAAGGGCGCCCCGTAGCGGCACATAAAATTGTGTTTGTTTTCTTTAATCTGAAGAACATCAGTTCCAATTTTACCAATCGCCCCTTGATATTCTTTGATTAACCACAGATAATTTAGCAAGGTTTCAAATTCATGACGTCATCAGACTGGAAGTTACGTCGATGAGAATTTGAAGAAGAAAAATCATATTTTAAATTGAATTCTATCATTTGATCCATGTCATATATCTTCGTAGCCCAACTAACAATACCATAACAATTAATGTTAACCTTTTGATTCCAAATACTAGTGACGTCATGAAACCATAAGTTAGGTGTTATAAATACATACAGTTATATTTTCCATATTTGCATACGTTATTTAACTTCACAATAAACATTGTGAACTAAATCAGTATTCACTTCCCGTTTTTTTAATAATGACATCATCAAGCCAGAAATAACTCGTTTGTGTACATAAAATGTTTACGGAAATTTAGCGCACCGTTAAAGATGCATTTTTCAACAAAATAATTTATTGTGATGGAAAGGATTTAATTTTGTGATCCTTTGCTGTTACATAAACATATTCATAACTTAACTCGGCAGTGTTTCTTAAAATCTACGGATAAACAGCGGTAAAACGACGGGTTACCATTGTTTTTGTTTTATTTTGAATATAAGGATTTATTCAAGGGGCTGCATTATTATTAGTTTTTGCATAATAACATATGCTCAAGTTGCGTTACTTTTTTCGTTTTTGTAACTGTAAGACAAGGTAAAATTTATTTTAAAAAACTAACTAAATGGAGATTAATGCTTAGGCTTTCATTTTTTAATACAGTTGTCAGTTGGTTCATCACTTGATTATACTTGGAAAATGGAGAGTTAATAAACGGCACATAAAGCAACTGAAAATTTGCTTTCAGATTCGTTACAATTATATGAAATTTTCAGCCTGAACTATTTCAATTGCTCTACGAAAGCTATACAAAAAGGGCCTCAAAATGACACAAACTTGCCTTAAGTTTTATCGAAAATATCTGCCGTCGATAATCTTAAAAATAATGGAAAATGCAGGTCAAGTATGCCATATACACAATGCTCGTCACGACGAGAAACTGGCTAACATTAACGTCTGAACTTCACACTAGTACGAGCGTTTGTGATGCACTGTGTGTGGTGGGCCGGCAATGAGACTCGTTTCACGGTATAGGATTTCGGTGAAACACGCTGCATCGTTTCACATCACATACCGTACCAGTAAAACTTCCTCAAAATAAATTCATAAACACGGGAAATACATACACAGACAAGAGAGATCAAGTTTTGTGAATAAGCTTGCAAAGATCGTCCTTCTCAATCGTTGTTTTCTTGGCATTTTTACGATGTCTATTCCTGCACGCAAAACACTGTACGGCAGGCGGTGCATTGCACCGCTCGCGACTATTACGTTGACTGGTTACCGCATTTTCATCATGCCTTCATTGGGACTTAGTGCGCGGCGCAGCGGGAACCAGTCATTGCTGCACTAGCACGTACGGGCCCACGTGTTTTCATGCAGCTCTATGCGACATACAGATTGTGCACGCACAGTATACAACCGCTGTACACACACGATCTTATACGTACGAGCTCGGTGTTCGTTCATTTTTAGCGATGTCCAGCGGCATACTAACGTGAGTTTGGGCATTATACCAATGAGCGTGTAGCTTAAGACTTAAAATCCTTTGCGTTTTTATCACTTCTTATTTTTAAACTTCCCGTGTTTGACGAGCCCTCTTTTGGATTTTTGAGGAGCGCTATTTTTGGCGCTCCTTCAAGACAGTCGAGGAGCGCAGTAGGAGCGCCTGCGCGATCGCGCTCCTTAAAAATGAAAAATATAATGCACGAAAATATGCAGACGAAAATACAAGGTTTCAAGTGAAGAACAGAAGAAACTGAGAAGGTTTGTAAAAGCAAGAGTATATTTAAATCAATGAAAACAATCTTATAATCTTAAAAAAATTTACTCAAATGACTCCGGGGAAGAGGGGCCAGGAATTGCCTCAGATTGCACCACAGAGCATCTAGAATCCAAAATTTCCCCACAGACCCCACGCCGAAAGACGTTCGCGCTCCGCATTGGTCTTCGGACAGATGCCTTCATACGCACCCTTGCAACAGTTTACAAACTAAGTCTTTACAATTCCGTTTCAAAGCACGAAAATAACTATGCAGACGAAAATGTTAAGTTAAACAAGCGAAGAACAGAAGAAACTTAAAATGCTTGTTAACGCAAGAGTATATTATAAACCAATGAGAAACATCCTTATAATCTTAAAACGTTTTGCTCAAATAACTCAGGGGAAAAGGGGCCAGGAATCCCCTCAGAATACATCACAGAGCATCTAGAATTCAAAATTTTCCGGGGCCCTTAAGCGGGCCCCGGACCCCACACCGTAAGACAGGCGTGATCCGCCCTCGCATTAGTCCTCGGAGAAAATGCCACAACCCATCGTTGTAACAGTTTACAAAACGAAGTCAATACAATTCCTTTTCCAAAATAGAATGCAAGAAAATAGGAAGACGTAAATACATGGTTTTCGACTTTCAAGCACACAGTAACTTAAAAATTGTAAAAGTAAGATATTTAAAAAAAAAAACCTATAATCTTAAAAATTTTTGCTCAACTAATTTAGCGAAAAGGAGCAAGGAATCGCCTCAGATTGCACCACAGAGCATCTAGAATCCAAAATTTCCCGGGGCCCTTAAGCGGGCCCCGGACCCCACGCCGTAAGGGCTTCGCGCTCTGCACTCGCACCTTTTTCTCGGAGCAAATAATTTGGCTCCAACAGTGTGCCCCCGGTCTAAAAAAATCCTGGATCCACGTCTGGTACACCTGACCAGCGCAACACGTGCATCTCGAGTACCGACACAGGAACTAGACCAATATATTCACAACCTCGGACCCGAGCGAAAGATCACATGAACACGCTAACAGCAACGCATGGTCTTCAACTTCGTTCTCACATTGGGTATCCAATATGTGCATGCAATATATCGATCAACGAAGTAATATCCGTGAGTAAATTTCGGATATTTCGGCAAGCAAAACTCATTATGAATAATTAATTAGCACATTCTACCCCGCTATTTTCTCAACAGATTCACATGATTCATGTTGGTGGACTTTTGAGGCCCCAAAAAACGGATTTCCGGAAAAAAAACTGACAAATCACATCTCTGTATTCATGAAATCGACGGACGAAATTTTGGCCTATTTACAGGCGTGACCCTTAGGATCAAACAAGAAATCAATTTGTGCACGTCTCATGGAGTCTACTCAATAAAAAGCTATCCTGGAATCAAAGTCCGTTTTTTTTTCACACATTTTTGCTTGAAAATATCTTTCTTTTTCAAACCAGTTGATACAAAGTTGCCAAATGGGTATATCACCAAAAAAAACACCCCGGCGTCATTCACCAAAAAAGCAAGCACTTACCCTGTGTCTTTGGTTCCTGTGACCATGCTGTGACTGGCATGATACTCCACAGTCGATGGACAGTTGTGAAGGTTTGGTGCCTGGGTGGGTACATCTAACAGCTGCAGGTGGGTTGGCGACTGGTGATTGTCTTGAGGATAATTGATCTGTAATGAAGAAATTTCAGTACATTTTAAAACATGATGGCCTATATTAATTTTTACAACCAATTTTTAAATGCATGAATTATCCGGTAATTCTCATGAGAGTTTGTCCTGAAATAACTGCAGAATTTTGATGCCATGGTTCGTACACTGTGACCTTTTTGTTTTTAGTTTTCCTGGTTATTATACTGGTGAGTACATGTAACTTCAATTGCGAAAATCAAGAGGAAAAATAAAGCAATTAGATTTCAATTTCAGGGGGAAAACGGCCAGTGTATATTTGATGTGAACCAGTACCAGGTTTTCTTGAATTCTTGTAGGCCTAGCGGCACTCACACTGACCTGCGCAGCGATTGTTTTTGGGACTTCAACAATCTTTTTACCGTGAGGAACCTTTGTCTGGTACCCCACTTACACTGTTGTTGTGACTTCATATAGGGACAGGAATCAGAAATGCAATTTTAGACTTTACTTCCCTTAACCCTAACCCCCTAGGCCCTTGTTGCTTACAACCATCCTCAATCCTCCAAAATCCTCCAAAATTTTCCAAAATTTTGCAACTCCGCCTAAACTCCGCCTAAAATTGTCAGACAGTCCTGCCTCAAAATGCATTCATCCTCAATCCTCCAAAATCCTCCTCATACCAAAACTTTGTGTTTAAATGAAGGATAACCAACGCCAAATCCTTCAAAATCATCAGACAGTCCTGCCTCAAAATGCATTCATCCTCAATCCTCCAAAATCCTCTTGTGCTTCAATCACCATTCATCCTCAATCCTCCAAAATCCTCATGTGCTTCAATCACCATTCATCCTCAATCCTCCAGAATCCTCATTTGATTCAATCACCATTCATCCTCAATCCTCTAGAATCCTCCAAAACCGCCAGGAGGATTTTGGAGGAGTGAGGTGGGTTAGGGTTAATAGACGAATGTGTGGCCAACTTAGTGAATTTTTACATGTTACTGCCTGTTGACGTAGAGGAGGCCCTCAACCGACGCGGTGGAAACATGCAGTGACATGTAAAAAACATATTCCCTACAATTCTCACATGAATTGTAGGGAACGAGGTACGAGTTAAGCCAAAAAAAAAGCCTTTTTTCTGTTTCGCAAATAAAGTAGCATCAGGTGGCAATTCCCCCCCCCCCCCCCATTTTCAGTATTTCTTTCAAAATTGGAAACGTTTCTCACAGTCTAGTCCGAGTAACTTGGACCCAACTTATTGCCTTTTTAACATTCGGACATGGTCTGGCAATAGTAGGGTCCAAGTTAAACCACATCATTTATCGGTTGACACAATTTTGTCATTGACCCAAAAACCCAACATTGCCCAACCAAAATATCAGATTTCACCCTCAAAACGGCGTTCAAATAACAAAATACGCCACCTGAGGTACAAGTAGAGATCTATGATTAAGATCGAGGTACTAAATTTTACTTAAGATCCGGATGAAAAGTAAAATTTCCCATTCAATTCCAAGAGCTCCCCTCGCGATCGTGAACACGTTAAATTTCCGACTCATGTTTGAACAATGCGATGTGGTCCAGCATTCATTCGATGGTCCCCGTATCCCGAGTGCGATTCCCGTTACCCGTTAAAAGGGAGTCGGGAACTAGCTTGAACTGGTTTCCGCCCATAAAAGCTCCTATTATCGTTCAAAGTGTACTTGTGTTTACAAACGAGATCCATTCTACTCATTATCATAATCGATGCAACACGGCTCGAGTCGAAAATTTAACACGAGTCAGAAATTTAACATGTTCACGATCGCGAGGGGAGCTCTCGGAATTGAATGGGAATTTTCACTTTTCATCCGGATCGTAAGTGAACTTCACTACAAGTAAAACCATGACAACCATCTTAACCCTAACCCCCTAGGCCCTTGTTGCTTACAACCATCCTCAATCCTCCAAAATTTTGCAACTCCGCCTAAATTTTTCAAAATTGTCAGACAGTCCTGCCTCAAAATGCATTCATCCTCAATCCTCCAAAATCCTCCTCATCCCAAAATTTTGCACTCGTGTTTAAATGAAGGATAAACCAACGCCAAATCCTTCAAAATCATCAGACAGTCCTGCCTCAAAATACATTCATCCTCAATCCTCCAAAATCCTCTTGTGCTTCAATCACCATTCATCCTCAATCCTCCAAAATCCTCATGTGCTTCAATCACCATTCATCCTCAATCCTCCAGAATCCTCATTTGATTCAATCACCACTCATCCTCAATCCTCTAGAATCCTCCAAAACTGCCAGGAGGATTTTGGAGGAGTGAGGTGGGTTAGGGTTAATCATCGATGTCTACTTGTACCTCAGGTGGCGTATCTACATGTAGTAATTTGGAGGCCATTTTGAGGGTGAAATCTGATGTTTTTGTTGGGCAATGTTGGGTTTTTGCGTCAATGACCAAATTGTGTCAGCTGATTGATGCGGTTAAGCTTGGACCCTACTATCGCCAGACCATGTCCAATTGTTAAAATGACGATAAGTTGGGTCCAAGTTATACACGGACTACTCACAGTAGTCCCAGATTCATGTCTTTTCAACATTTTTGCAATGACTGACCCATATGAATTTGTCACCCCAACTTTTGTTCACTTAATTTCACAGTTTAAATCTGGCGCGCAGAGTATTATACAGAGGTCCAGGGCTACATACATTGTACATGTAATCGTATTAACGCTGGCCCTGTGTGGCCCAATAAACACATGCACGTTCTTTCCATCACAAATGTCTATAACATTAACTGCCTTGAAGTGAACAGTATTCAGATACAAATTGACATTATTTAAAAATGAAATTAACCTCTATAAAGACGTGCAGTTTTAATCCCAGATAACTAATAACAAATGGATACTTTTTAAATATCTTAGTTAAAGTAGAATTGGAGAAAACATGTCCTGTAAAACGGTACTCCTAGAACTATGAGGCTCCACGTAGTGGAGCCTCATACAATGTAGGTTCAGAACCCCGCAAAATTGTTGTCAGCACAAAACACTAATTAAGTACAAAAACGTCCATCCCAACCAAGCTGTTTCCCACAGAACCGCTGCACAGTTTGCCCCAAAACTCCGTACAATACCTCATGACATACTCACGTTATGTGCACCCAACAAACATCGGTGGATTCTGTCTGTTTCTCGGCAAAAATAATGAAAAATATGCCCTTTCCGCACTGAGCCAATCTGACACTTGAAACGTGCACGCGCGCAGAATGATCGCAGTCATTTTTGGGTTCGATCGCTCGGAGCGCGCCGCGGGGGGTACGTACATGTACATGTACTTGCACTTGTACGCATGCGCATACTATCGTTCCGCTCCTACACCATACCCCCGCGGCGCGCTCCGAGCGATCGAACCGAAAATGACTGCGATCATTCTGCGCGCGTGCTCATTTCAAGTGTTAGGTTGGCTCAGTGCGGAAAGGGCACATTTTTCATCATTTTTGCCGAAAACAGACAGAATCCACCGATGTTTGTTGGGTGCACATAACGTGAGTATGTCATGAGGTATTGTACGGAGTTTAGGGGCAAACTGTGCAGCGGTTCTGTGGGAAAAAGCTCGGTTGGGATGGACGTTTTTGTACTTAATTAGTGTTTTGTGCTGACAACAATTTTGCGGGGTTCTGAACCTATGAGGCTCCACTACGTGGAGCCTCATAGTTCTAGGAGTAGTAAAACGGATGATGAGCAGAGTCCAAGATCATGAAACGCGTGGTAAGCAATGGCACATCGATGTAAGTCTCGAACAATGCCTTATCAATGCATCGGCCATCGCGCGCACTCGGTAACGGAATCCAACTCGGGATACGGGGACCATCGAATGTACGCTGGGCATGAAGAACAAATCGCGTCGTTCAAACATTAACACGAGTCGGAAATTTAACGTATTCAAGATCGCAAGGGGAGCTCTCGGAATTGAAAGGGAAATTTCACTTTTCATCCGGATTGTAAGTAAACTTCAGTACAACTATCTTAATTATTGATGTCTACTTGTACCTCAGGTGGCATATCTAGTAATTTGGAGGCCGTTTTGAATAGCTGGGGTTAACCAGCCCTAAATTTTATCATTGGGTTGTCATCTAGGGCTGGAGATAATTTTTCACGTAACTCAGCAGCGTAGGCAGGTCCCAAAAAAAATTGCGTTTGTCCCCGTTACACACTAATTGCAACTGCAACTCACCCCAAACTTGCCTGGAATAACCATTACACAGGTCCTTGAATTAAAAAACGATCCACGATGAATTTTCAAAAAAAAATTTGGGACCTGCCTACGCTGCTGGGTTACGTGAAAAATTATCTCCAGCCCTAGATGACAACCCAATGATAAAATTTAGGGCTGGGTAACTCCAGCTAGTAGTTTTGAAGGTGAAATCTGATGTTTTTTGTTGGAAAATGTTTGTTTTTGGGACAGTGACTGGATTGTGTTGTCCAGCTCGCACTATTAGCTTGGACCTTACTATTGCCAGACCATGTCCAAATGTTAAAAAAGGCGATAAGTTGGGTCCAAGTTATAGACTAGCATTATGCATAAACATAACGCTAAGGTCAAGGATCATCCTAGCCCAGGTTGGACGAAGTCTTCATTGCAATACGACTGACGTCCAGGGCAAGAATTCTCTACATGAAACCACCCAACATTTTTACCAGAGTTTTGTTATGTTTTACCTCGTTATAGAAGCTTATTTCACGCCTACATACTCTATGTATCCTTATCTATTAGGCCTTTGGGTTCAGGAATTCCATATGCGATGCTGACTGACGTTAATCAGGAAAATAAACTCCAAAGCAACGTTAAACTTGTACGTGTTTGTAGTCTCTTTTCATCAGTTTATTCCCAGAGTCGTACGTCATGTACAATGTACATGATATGTACAAAATGTACGTGCGTACGATCCGAAAGCGCGCACGCACGCTAGCGCCCTCATTTGTTTAGTTTTGGTTGGAACCGTGACGTCACTCCAGCCAGCTGATGTCACGAAAACGCTCAACCAATGACCAAAGCCGAAACGTGTTTCTGGTAACTGGCGCGAAAACACGCTCGGTCATTGGATTAGCGACCGCGCCTTCAAGTAAGTGCGCGTGCGTATGAGGGTGGTTACTAAGCAAATCGCGCGTGCGCACTGCATATTCATGCGGCATAGTCTGTCCCCCGGACTAGTCCGAGTAACTTGGACCCAACTCATCGCCTTTTTTAACATTTTGGACATGGTCTGGCGATAGTGGGGTCCAAGCTAATGCCGCGACCTGGACAACATCATCCTGTCACTGTCCCAAACCAACATTTGCCAACAAAAAACATCAGATTTCACCTTCAAAACGGCCTCCAAATTACTAGATATGCCACCTGAAGTACAAGTAGACATCGATGATTAAGATGGTTGTACTTAAGTTTACTTACGATCCGGAAGAAAAATGAAATTTTCCGTTCAATTCTGAAGACCCCCTCTGCCTAGGTTGTCGTTGTTGTGCTCACGTTCAAAACTGCATGATACGCTGTGTGTACGCGTTCCCAATTGGGTAATGGTGTCTGACCTCGACCTCATGCAAAGGTCGTGACGGCGCGCTTGCGCACAATGCACTGCATGCACGGCAGATTCCCCTGCGCCGCGCCGACGACTGTTTCCTGATGAAGAGTGCTGTGTAAGTTCGCGGTACGCTAGCCAGCGCGACTCCTAGGCGTACCGCGAACTTACACAGCACTCTTCATCAGGAAACAGACGTCGGCGCAGCGCAGGGGAATCTGCCGTGCATGCAGTGCACATATGGAAAAGTAGTCTCTTTTGCTACACCGATATGGACGTGTTTCCATGTTACGCACAAAACGGGTTAGCCGCAGTCGCTCCGAATCCGGTCCACCGGTGAAAAAATGGTTTTAGTGGTCAAACGAAAAAACATATAATCCGGGGTCGCCCGGCATTCCAATCTCTATATATTTTCCTACGAAATTCCAAAATTTCACTCGAATAGAGCATTCAATGTCGTCGGACCAGCTTTCTCAAAACGCTTTTACGAGGGACCAGAGCGTCCTTTTTTAGTGTAATCACACGCAGTTTTACCCTTACGCATCAGATGGGGCGAGTTTGCAAAGCAGTAACTCGGCAATGCATTACGCAATGACAGCGGGTTTTCCGGCATTCTCTGCGTTAGTTTCCTCCCCATATCATATGTAAAACTCGTTTTGATTGGCTAAGAAATGTCGTCGGAATGAAAGAAAACTTGAACCCCGTCATTCTGCTATCCAATGGTATTCGTCATGACCTAGCGCTGGGATTAGCATAACATTCGCGTGACGTCATGTCCACTGAGTAGCTTCTAGCTAGCCGCGCGGTGGATGTGACTGGATTTGCTGTATTTTATGCGCTCTAAACGAAAAAAATATGTAATATGTGAAATGAAATTGGCACTTACTATGTTTTTGCCACATGCAGTTTTCATCCTACATGAACTTATACGGTTTTTCCACAGGAAATTGAAGGAATTCGTCGAAGAAGTTAAGTGCAGTGAAGGTGGTCCGTACCATTACTATATAGGGAATACCATTCGGCACGTGCGCAGCGTGGTCAATTCAAGTGCATGATTGCAAGCCCAGCAGTGCCCGTAACTTATTTGGGATTTTCGTATGGCTAAAATTCATGTGAGATCTTCTTTCAGGTTGCTTTATTTTCATTGTTGTGTTTTTAACTATGTCCTGTATTTTGCCATAGAGAAAGACGATGTTTCCATTGTGTAGGCCTGTGTAAACACCTGTTGTTTATTGGAGTTACGCGTTGGTGCGGTTTACCCATTTGTCACAATGGACTCTTCGGTACTAGCCACACGCATACTTGCTACACATAGGAGTTATGCATAATGCATGATTGGGCATTGACCCATTCAGTACACGCGTAGCGTGTCCCGAAGGTCACATACACACACAACTGATTTTTTGAGACTTTAGCCATGAAACTTTTCCATATGTGTGCGCAAGCGCGCCGTCACGACCTTTGCATGAGGTCAAGGTCAGACACCATTACCCAATTGGGAACGCGTACACACAGCGTATCATGCAGTTTTGACGTGAGCACAACAACGACAACCTAGGCAGAGGGGGTCTTCAGAATTGAACGGAAAATTTCACTTTTCTTCCGGATCGTAAGTAAACTTAGGTACAACCATCTTAATCATCGATGTCTACTTGTACTTCAGGTGGCATATCTAGTAATTTGGAGGCCGTTTTGAAGGTGAAATCTGATGTTTTTTGTTGGAAAATGTTGGTTTGGGACAGTGACAGGATGATGTTGTCCAGGTCGCGGCATTAGCTTGGACCCCACTATCGCCAGACCATGTCCAAAATGTTAAAAAAGGCGATAAGTTGGGTCCAAGTTACTCGGACTACCCCCGGACCAGATGTGATATGAGCGTCGAGAATAATTGTCCGGTCTATGGAACCAGACTACACGCTGCACAGACGTTCATGATGATGTACGACTAGAATAGACTCGGCGGTGAGAAACTGATGAAAAGAGACTAAAACACGTACAAGTTTAACGTTGCTTTCGAGTTTATTTTCCTAATTGACGTCAGTCAGCATCCCATATGGAATTCCTGAACCCAGCGACCCAACAGATAAGGACACATAGAATACTACGGCGTAAAAATTAGCTTCTCCAACAAGGTAAAAATATTGAAATTATTGGTCAGAAATGTTTTTGTTCGGTTGTGGGCGCTGTGTTACCCAGGACTCCCTCCGTAACGTAGGGAGGAAAGGGAGTCCACCAGGGCTAGGATTAGCCCCATAAATGTGGCCCATTTACTGGACTGCCTCCGTAAACATAGGCCACACATCCACATGTACAAAAACGTGTCGACTTTGCCAAATTTGATTTTCACATTTAGACTTACTTTGTAGGGTTTTTTTGCTTTAGAAGCATTCTCACCCTCTATATAGGCTAATCAGAAAGTGCTGCCTTTTTCAGATGTCCATTTTTCGTGAAATTTCCAGATATACATTTGCACACGTTTGCGTATCAAAATTTCAACATGAAATTTCACAAAAATTAGACATCTGAAAAAGGCAGCACTTTCTGATTAGCCTAGCTCTACTGAGTGGAGCGTTGAATTACGGGTACCTCTCCATACAAATGCTCCACCGATTTGCCATACTTTGGTAGCACTTACACGGTCGTCATGACGGTATGCATTTTGTGCATGCCCTATCGCGAGGACAAGGCCCAAAAAACCGATAAAGAAAATACAAATGAGGAAGACAGTAACCCTGGATAGATCCACACATTCATGACATTCCATAAGACCCCTCAAATTGTTTCAAACAACCGGTAATTTTGAAAAAAGAACAAAATAGTCTGAACTTACCGCTCACAATTAAATATGTCTGCCGAGTTGCACAGTCTATTTCACTGACATGACTGATGCATAATTCATTGCGCGCGTGTGTGACGTCACTATTGAAGAAAAACAAGTTGCGCTTACTCAATAGCTGTTTCATGTAGTCATATGTGCCCCGCGCCGTCTGACTGTGGGTTTTTGGTGCGGGGCACATATCAGTACATGAAACAGTCATTGATTAAGCGCGACTTGTTTTTCTTCAATAGTGACGTCACACACGCGCGCAATGAATTATGCATCAGTCATGTCAGTGAAATAGACTGTGCAACTCGACAGACACATTTAATTGTGAGCGGTAAGTTCAGACTATTTTGTTCTTTTTTCAAAATTACCGGTTGTTTGAAACAATTTGAGGGGTCTTATGGAATGTCATGAATGTGTGGATCTATCCAGGGTTACTGTCTTCCTCATTTGTATTTTCTTTATCGTTTTTTTTTGGGCCTTGTCCTCGCGATAGGGCATGCACAAAATGCATACCGTCATGACGACCGTGTAAGTGCTACCAAAGTATGGCAAATCGGTGGAGCGTTTGTATGGAGGGGTACCCGTAATTCAACGCTCCACTCAGTAGAGCTATGATTAGCCTATATAGAGGGTGAGAATGCTTCTAAAGCAAAAAAAACCTACAAAGTAAGTCTAAATGTGAAAATCAAAATTTGGCAAAGTCGACACGTTTTTGTACATGTGGATGTGTGGCCTATGTTTACGGAGGCAGTCCAGTAAATAGGCCACATTTATGGGGCTAGGCTAGGATCATCCTAGCTAGTGCCCTACACTTCACGATCGCCAAAAAAAGTGGCGTCACTTCAGGTTGCAAGTGCAACATTCTTTCCAAGTTTACTTTTAAGCTGTTAATATTTCAGCAAACTTCATTCGTAAGACTAAGATTAAGAAGAGTACGTGTTACAAAAGACGAGACGAGTTGGCATGGGGCGAGTTGGCAAGTAGGGGGCGAATAACCTGCATTCATAACTTAAAAATAAAAGGCCACCATTTTACGTTACAGGTATGACCCATTTTCGACCTTTTCGTAACTGAAAATCCTCTTAAAAGTACTCACCAATACTCTGTATATTCTTAGTCAATGTTCCTGGATACCAGTGTTGTCTTTTCTATCAAGAAAACGGCAAATACTTCGTAGGGACAGTTGACCAAAAAAAATTTCTTCTTCAAAGTCGCCATTTTTTTCAATGTGAGGCGCGCAATGCATCATGGGTGTGGACCACGTGGGATTTTATGCAATATGTCAAACCTTGGGTACCTTCCAGCTGTGGCTTGCGGCCTCAGCCTTATTGTTTCACAATGGTCTGTTTCCGCTCATTTTGTTTCAATTTTCTCGAACAGGAACATGAAACCTCATGAATAAAGGCTGAAGTTTGGATTCGTTCTGTTGGATTCGAACACTGAGGCCTCAGTTCGAATTGTTTCACTACCAGTGTCTCACCCGAAACGAAGCCTACATTTGCAAAATTTTTAGGATGATTCTTTTAGCGCGGTTGGCAATTTATATTCAAAAGTTAGTCGGTGTCATGTGCATTGCAGCCTTGCAGGGTTCATTATATTACAAAAACAAACAAATTCGCATATCGTATTAACTGAGTATAATCAAGACTCCGTCAAACATATCTGCCTCCGCCAATATTTTATCCAAATAAATATATATTTTTTCCCCTACATTATTTTTGGGAAGCCTTCACGTACAAATAGGACTAGGTCTTAATTCATGTATAGGTATATACGCCTAATCCTATAGTAGAAAATTTCAGCAGCATTTTAATTAGTTAAAGCTATAAAATAATAATGAAAGTGCTTTGTTTCCAGAAAACTACAACTGTTTACATCAGCGGAAAGTTTCGAAATCATTCACAGCTATGATCGAGTTCCTTTTCAGGTGCGCGTGTGCAGGCGCCTCAGAAAATAATTTATTCGCGTTAAGCATCGCGTTTTAGAGAATAATTCGGTTTGATTGATCTTTTGGGTTTTAAGAAGATTCCAGGAATAACGAGCCTATGAACAGGCTGTAAGTAAAACGTAGTACAGTGTGCACAAATATTTCCACAAAACCTCAGCCTGAGTTTAGTGACTTTTCGAGCCAGGCGATTGCAGACCGTGCGGGCTTTGTATATAAAGCACATAAGCTCGATCGACTTGTTTGTTTGACGTTTGATTTCTCGGATTAATGTGTAACTGTTTTTTTTTTACAGTGCCGTGAGAAGTGCCGTGAGTTATTAACTACTGTTAATTGCGGACAAGTTCGTTGTTTACTGAGGCACGGTAACAATGGAGAATTTGCAAAGGGCGCCCTCACCCGAACAGGTTTAAATAAACAAATTCAGTGACAATGAAAGAGTGGTGATCACCTTTATTTTAACATAAAAAGTTCGGTCCTTCCCAGCATCCAATTAAAACGATTCTTACATTTTCATTAGACCCAAGACCAGTGTTGTAGTCGAGACTGGATAGTCCGAGACCGAGACCAAGACCAGCAAAAAGTTGCCTCGACACCGAGACCGAGGCTCGATATGCCCTCTAAACTTTAAACGTATGAAACGTTACAGTCGTTTTCCTATATAGTTCCGGATAGCAAACATCATTCAGGCTGCTTTCAGCTCAACTACTCCACGAATTCAAGTGACATTGATTAAACTTTAGTTTACCTTGAGTGACGGAGAGACCATTTTTATTTTGATTTTATGACGTCAAAAGTACCGATGTCACTTTTCCTAGTTCCGGATCGGTTCATCAATCAGTTCTGAATCGATCAAAACTGCTTCACGCGAAAAAAAAAAATCATGCGAGAAAATCTTCTTTTTTTTTCAGCCAGAACCAACCGAATCAAGTAGGCCCCTATATTTTCTGATAAAGTATTATTTCATTTTCCAAAAATAGTTCATTCAAGAGAATTCCAGCAAATTTTAAAAAGAGAAAAAACGTAAATGATTTTGAAACTTTTGTCTGAAGCGCAACGGCTCGAACTCACGCACGGACCAAAAATCTTTGACCCAGCACAGAATACATCACACAAAATCGATTAACGCGCGTGTAGTTGGGTCGTAAGTGCACGCGCTATCCGGAACTAGGCAAAAGCATACGGTCATTCGTTGCCGAATTTTCAAAAATTAGAGACTTTACAACTTATTTTGATTCAACAAGAATTCGTTGGAAGAGTTTATACGATTGTAGTGCCGCTGAGTGAACAAAATATTCACAATCACACGGTACAAGTGATATACTAATACTGAGGAGAAAATTTATCGTCGATTCGCAGCTCCCGCGATTTTCTACAAACCGTCCAAACATGTCGAAGTGCGAGTCGGAAGTCTGGCCAAAATTCCTCTTCTATGGATTTTATCAGAAAAATCTTTGTGCATCAAGGAGCTTACATTTTCCTTTTCAAAATGTACATCGTCAGAATTTTTTTTTTTATCAGAAACTAATCCAAGAGAGGTAGGTTTTTATTTGAAGCTATCCGGAACTAGGAAAAATCCGGAACTAGGAAAACGACTGTACGTTGTCAAGCGTCCGGATAAAAAGTTGAGAAAAGTACGTAGAAAACATCCTTCAAAACCACTTAAGAGTTAATTGTATTCCAAAAAATAATGTTCTCAAACAGAATACTACTTACTCCTTGTGTGGTGTCTGTCCTTTCCTTAGTCGGTCAAGGCGGTATTCCTAGTTCTTCGGGGATTGTGTATGTCCTTTCACCGCGGAAATGTCGTCGTCAAATTTAATTCAGCCGCCATGTTTGAAGAAACAAACACTTTACTGAGCATGTCTGGAACACGTGCGCACTGCACTGGTGCATAATGTATTCAAAAGAAGCGCCAATTCGTGAGCCAATCAGCTGTTGTGAATGTTGGAAGATACATTTTGCACTGCCGCATAAGTGTGCAAATTTGTGAAATTACAAAATGGACTATTTGTGCTAATTTCTTTTCCTTTCTGCCTGAGAAAGAAAGCCTAAATAAGACAGAATCCCACCCAAAACTGCTCAACCGACACCAGAACAAGAAATAAACAGTAATCACAATTTGCTCACGTGTACACTGATCATACGAATGGGCCTTTTTTATTTATTTATTTGAAATGTTTTTTGAAGCGATGATGACAAAAATGGGTTAAACAATGAGATAAACTTATCAAATCATTGAAAAACTCACTAACCTGTGAATGGCCGGTATTAAAACTGACTGTGAAAATTATTATTGTTATCAACAATAATTAGGATACCTAATCAAAGTTGTGAAATGTTCAACTTAGCTTTGTATGAAACGTGTTTTTATGTCTGGTACATAAAATCATGTAGTGCTGCTATTAAAAGGGCATTTTTCTTCAAGTTTCCAAAATATGACAAGTTTCTTGTTATGAAAAATCATTTATTTTTGTGTCGGTTAACATGAAAATCAGAATATTGGAATACTTTCTTGATGACAAAAGGAAGAATTCACGATGGATAAAGACAAGGACTTTAGAATTTCTTTTGTAAAGACCGGAAAGCGGCATTCACTTAGGCCATTTTTACTCGATTGCCAAAAAGATATTTTAAGGATCACTACAAATACCCCAGAAGTAACTTCACAAGGAAACCAAAGTGCATTACCGGAAAAAAACAATTATCGGATGATGAAATCAATAATATTGTAATAAACTGCAGAATGTCTTTTACAATTTAACAAATAACTTTAAATTTCAACAACTGAATAATTTATAAATAATTCAACAATTCTTTGTCAAAATCTAATGAACAGCACCATATAAAAGCTACACTTGAAACTTGTTGACACCAACACTTTTGATAACCAAATCATAGAACGTGTAATACATTTGAAGGAAAACTTGAATAAACAATTTTACTACAAGAACGAGTATACAAAAAGCATCATACATTCCGATGCATTACTTTTTGAGGTTTGATTCAAGGCACACAAAAGTAAAGTCTAAACAAAAAACTTTATACATTTAAGTTGGTTGAACAGCCTCTGTAATTAGAGAACATAGATTTACGTTTCATGTTTTTATCTCTTCCTGAAAATTACATTAATATTTGGAGATAACTCGCCTGTGCTACAAGATACCAAAAAGGGAGAATTACATATTTGAAACCTGGCTTCATCCAACTGGAGATCAAAATTTCGTTTTTACTTTTTTCCCCTATAACAGACAAGTCATAAAGCAGTATGCATGCCTGTGTACAGCAAACATCTTCTGCCAGAAATTGAGGACAAATATTATTATCACAACATATTCACAGAACCAGTTTCGTTCTTTCATAACATGAATGAAACCAGGTCTTCGATGAAAATGTTAAGAACAAAAGAAGTCCAGTTATTTTGTTAGATAATATGTACACCACAGTCAACGGTCGCACTATACTGAGTGAGGTATCATGGATAGTTGCCGCACCATGAAGTGATATCATGTACACATATACATGTGCTCCTGAAGAAATATACACTGCTCCAAAATAAATCAAACATTGCAACTATTTTAAAGTTGAGAATCATTGCATGTTAGGAAATAGGACACAATATTATAGTTTTCTCCAAGGTATGGCAGAGAGTAAAGAATCTCAAGACAATTACCTTTATGGAAACACCGCTAACATTGTTTAACTTACAAAATGGAATATATTACCTGGACCTCTTTTGTTCATACGTAAGTGGATAACACTGGTGTTATTTTACATTTTAAATACTTTTAATTATAATAGTGCGTCTTAAATAATTTTTGCCACATTTATGTCAGCAGATAAATACATCTTTTTTTCTCTGATTAGCCACATTAAATATGATATATAAATATTTACAAAATAATATTTCTTGAAGCCAAACTCAAGAGCCGCCCAAAGACTAAACGTTCTTCATTGGCTATTAATATACACGGTTTACTGGTTTTCTAGTCACACACAATCTACAAACACACACCAACAAACACACACAAACTCTTAACAATTTTCTACAAGAATATCTGTCCACTGAATAATGTCCAATTTCTGCGTTCTTAAGCCAAAAATATTTCTATAAGAAAGTAACTATCAATAGACGATTTTTTTCAATTTTTTTTATATTTTCTTTTACTTTGGTACAAAATTGATGCTGAAACACTGCATTAATAGAATGCCACAAAGAACTTATTCTTTGCTTAAATAGCCAAGATGGCGCTGTTGAAATCAAGAGAGGGCGCTATTGAAAACAACACAGCGAGTTGATAAACCCCGACTCATAACAACAAATTTAAATTCTAGTGCATTTTAGCAACCCATAATGTGCAGCTATGCACACAAGTATTTCACGTGTAGATTCTTTTTCTCTTGGTTTTCGACCAAATTTTCAATTTTTTGAAAGATTCATTAGGAAACATCAATAAATTATGGCACAGTTTAGTTTTCCTTATCTTCCGCGCTCTTGATAACAGACCATCCGAAAATGACAAACAACGGACTATGTCAACGCATGAGCGGCACGACATGAATCATACAATCCACATAACATTTACAACACCAAACTTGTTATCCTGACAGAGTTAACAGACGTTCCTCAAAGGTTTACCTTTTCGGTGAAACTGGCTCTCAACATGAAATACAACTTGGCTTGCTTTACATTTTTATAGCGATCAAAGACTTAACATTTCTCTTTGTTCTTTTCCTTTTGCTTTCTTAATTTTTGCTTCTCCCTTTGTTTCCACAAATCACTTTTTATTCTTGACTCACACCCAAAAGTGTTCAGAGTGAAACTGAACAGGCAACTGAGTCAATGAGTGTTGAGATGTGATCAGTCATTTTGAATTGAATTTGATGACGTTTGTACCAAGAAATCAGGAGTGATTTAGATGGAAAGTGAACTTGGAATGTCGACATTAGATCTGTGTGTACACCAAGGCAATTTCATGATTTCTTTTCAATATACAAGATAAGACATCAAAACCTGCGCCCTTTCGCCAAGTTTGACAAGCTACAACACCTCTGACCAAAACACCGAGTTGCTTGGAAAAGATACAATGTTGCCAAGAAAAGGGATTCTATCCTTACATTCAGTTAATTTTTTTTTTTCACCAATCTTTTTTTAAGTATACAAAACTGTTTTAGAGGAATTAAATATTCAGATTCAAAGTACGAGCCAATTCGAGTGCTTTAAGTGACAAAGTGATGTCATTAGAAAATATTCACGCCGCAAATTTCAACATTGACAAAATCGTTTGGTCATACATTAAGTTCGTTCACATCCTTAATCATGTGAACTACAAAACCGGGTGTAAGGGATAGACTTTGGTAGAATATAACAATGGCATTTTCTGGGCAATTGAATATATTTATATAAGTTTAATATGGTATACAAATGTCAACACACAGTTAAGTGTAGCTCCAGAAAGCTTAACAATGCAAATTTCCAGATTTGCCAGTTGACCCTGTCCACTTCGCATATGGGCAACACAGGAATGGAACCAATGTGACACAGTATGTTGCAGGCATGTCCATCAAATTTGAATTGAATTGGATATTTGGTGTACTAGGCCATCAGCCTGGGGGTTTGGCCAGTATCAAATCTGGGCATAAATGATTATAGTGCGCATGCGCAAGATATACCGCCCCTAGAGTGGTAATAAGCATTTTGATGGACATTTTGAAAAAAACGGGTGATAGCACCCAAAAAGCTGCCACCGCTGCAATGCTATCACATATTTTCCAACTCTGGAGGTGTATACCTTGCAAAAAATTGCTATGACAATTATTCCCCTCATTTGATACCGGTGGCCAAAATTTTGGACCGAGGCTGATGGCCTATACATTCCTGTCTGTGATTGGCTGCAAATATCATAAGACGGAGCTTAACGGATTAATCTATTCTACCACCCTGCCCTGTGGAATGGTGTGTGTGGGTTTTTGACGACATCCAGGCTATTTACTGCATTCTACGTTACCCAGTTTGCGGTGAAAACACGCCGCTCTCGTGACTGTCCAAAGAACTCGACCTGGACAGATTCTGCTTCAAGACAGACGGAGACGGGTTGGGGGAGCGCGTGGGGGAGCGCGTGGGGGACCGAGATGGGGAGGTGCAAGGGAAGAAGGTGTGGCCTGGTGACAGGGAAACAGGGGAGGAACCTTCAGAGTGCAGAGACAGACGCCAGGAGAGTTGCTCCTTCTCCATAGACAGCCGTTTCTTCTCGTTCACTTCTCGCTCGTAGTTCTCCCGAAGGGTGATGTGGTCTGATGAAAGTTGCCTGTGGAGGAGAAGACATCAACAGACTTTGTTAATCTTGTAACAGATTATTTACTTCATTACTTGTTGCCACCTCAACATAGCACAACTGTGGTAAATCATGGTGTTGGAATCTGCCGTCAGTATCAGTTTTAACCTGACACTAGATTTAAGCCACACTACATATATCGCCCTTGGAAAGGTTTAAAGAGAGGACTTAGCATACTGTCCTTCCACTTTCCTAACATTTTCTTTTTCAAGCTGAAGCTCACACAAATTTGAATTCAATTTAAATGTTGTAGACCCCTCGCCAAGCTGATTATTACCTTCGCCTTCATATTAAAGGGAATGTACAACATTTGCTTTTGCTGCAATTTTCAGAAATAAATGGATTTGGAGGATTAGTATGTTATAGCAAATATTGTTAAAATGACTTGTTTCACGATTTGGGCTTGTAGATGCTGGAAAAACCAAGAAAACCAATCATGTTCTTGAAGTCTGGTTTCCTGACCCCACTTAAGATGAAACAGAGCAATTTATAAACTTTGCGGAATTGTAAGGTCAGAAAATCTGTCTAGCAGGCTTGAACACCTTTACAGGTGTGTAATCAATTGCAAAGAAAACGCGGAATAACTAATTATGAAAAATTAGGAGCACTGTTTGAAAAAAGCCAGTTTTCTCCAACGCTGGTCGGCCGACCAGCGTTGGAAAAATCCCATTTTTCTTGAAAATGGCAGCACACCAGGAGCCACGATTTTACAGAATGTTTTAGACTGTCATTCCATAACAATCCAGTAAGGTATTTCGTGATAATTCGATCATTTCGTTTTGTGATGTTTGCAAATGTTGTATCTTCCCTTTAATCATGCAAAGATTTTGTTATGGGCACTTTGGAATTTCTCTGAAATGACAAAAGAGAAGTCTGTTATCCCCCCTCAGAGAGCACAATGAGCACAATGACCCCATCTCCATTGACTGAGACTTAGCTTACTGTTGATAGTCGTGTTTCTTAACCATCATTGCTTTGAGATCCTCCACTTTGGCTTTGAGACGGAGAATCTCATCGTCTCTAACCGGCAGCTTTTCCAACTGAAAGGGAAACGATAATAGAACAAATAAAGAAAATTGAAAAAACATTGAGTGACACTGTGAAGATCAATATGAACCTCAACAACTGCTCATTAGTGTTTTGCATAAATGTAAAGAGTTCAGAAAGTTAGCAGGCACTGAATTATTCAATAATCCATATTACCCTTCTTGCAACTTAAAGAGGTTGTGGAATGCTCGAAGACATTTCTGTCATTTTTCGGGTATATGTAGCCTAAGGTGTGATGAAATAAAAACCACTATTGTGTCTGTCATGAAATGAGTACAAAGGGTACTTTTGAGAGCTGTTTTTCAGGTCCTGTTTTGACCCGAACGTGCAATTTGTGTAAAAGTCGTTGTTGGGGGCAGCAAACAAAACATAGTAAATTGTGACGTAATAAACAGGACTCGTTTATACCACGCTGCATCGGGAGTCCTGTTTATTACGTCACGATTTAGTATGTTTTGTTTGCTGCCCCCAACGCGACTTTTACACAAATTGCACGTTCGGGTCGAAACAGGACCTGTAAAACAACTCTCAAAAGTACCTTTTGTACTCATTTTATGACAGACACAATAGTCGTTTTTATTTCATCACACCTTAGGCTACATATACACGAAAAATGACGGAAATGTCTTCGAGCATTCCACAACCTCTTTAACCCTAACCCACCTCACTCCTCCAAAATCCTCCTGGCGGTTTTGGAGGATTCTAGAGGATTGAGGATGAATGGTGATTGAATCAAATGCGGATTCTGGAGGATTGAGGATGAATGGTGATTGAAGCACATGAGGATTTTGGAGGATTGAGGATGAATGGTGATTGAAGCACAAGAGGATTTTGGAGGATTGAGGATGAATGCATTTTGAGGCAGGACTGTCTGATGATTTTGAAGGATTTGGCGTTGGTTATCCTTCATTTAAACACGAGTGCAAAATTTTGGGATGAGGAGGATTTTGGAGGATTGAGGATGAATGCATTTTGAGGCAGGACTGTCTGACAATTTTGAAAAATTTAGGCGGAGTTGCAAAATTTTGGAGGATTTTGGAGGATTGAGGATGGTTGTAAGCAACAAGGGCCTAGGGGGTTAGGGTTAATGCTTGATTCCGTTTAATGCTATTAAGCTACAGATTTGGATAATGCAGTATCACAGTGTAGGTGTGGCAAACTGAAATAATGTGGTGTGTTATGGTGAGTGATCAAAACGCTTATTAATTTTAGAGTCTGGACTTACATCTTTCTTGAGTGCCATATTTTCTCGTCTGAGTTCCATCAGTTGAACGGTCCTGAGTTCTTCCACTGACTTCATGCTCTCAACGTCTGCTTCCAACTTCCTCTTTTCCAAGATGGCAGCCTGTGACGCGATCAGCAAAATGTTACTTCGTTTGAAAAATTCTACATCCTACACATTCTTATTTTGTACTTCCATCAAAAAGTACCTTTTGAGCACTAACTGTAGATGGCACTAAATGACCAACTCACAAAAGCCAGACAGCCGCTTTCCATAGAGGCATGTGTAAATTGAAGGCCATTCCCAAGTAATCTGGATAATTTCATAAGATGGAATTTGCGCAGTGGTGATGTAAACTCACTATTGGGTTTTGCCTCTCTTATGAATAGTTTGGCTGTGGTATCCTCTGCTATGGGCTTCGTGCGCCGACGAAAGAGGACGGCCTTTTACCTAGAAACAACGTCCCATGGGCAGGACATTTCGCTGGTTGACGCTTTGTGTGTGACGCACGTACACCAGGGGATTTGTACTCTGTACACGCAGTGGTACGTTCGGCCTCGCTTCGCGGCAAATGAATTGTAGTTGGGCAAGATGGCGTCGGTCAGTCACCCCCAACTGTACTTTCTTTGCCGGTGAGGGGGTACTTGTGAACGGAGCGAATATCAGATGATGACACTAAGTATACAGTGTTTTTAAAAATAAAACGGTGAAGGGTAAAAGCTAATCTGAATAAGGCCAGAAGTCATACGAGGAAAGCATCCTGGGTATATTCATGTACTGACCTGGACTTTGGAATCAGAATCTTTCTGCAATGCTTCCTCTAATCGCATGACTCGCTCCTTGTGATTCTCACACTGGAATGTCCACTTATAAACCTCATCCTGAAATAATAATATTAAACAATGTCCATGAATAGGATATATATTACAGAAATTGAATGATAATTGTAGCAGCTCTAGAATTTATTTGTAGAATAATAAACACAGACCCAACAGCATGTCGGTGACGAAGCCTATTGAAGTTAAAATCTCTCCAAATTATGGCAAGATGAACTTTTTGATGTAGGGAATTTTCAATGGATGAGCAATGCAGCAACACTGAATAATTGTGTATTTCATTGTGTATGCCGCAGTTTCATTCATTTCCAATACAGAAATGTGATGTTATTGGAATGAAGCGGTTAAACAAGAAATAGAAGCCAACTGACGTGGAGTTCTTGTTGCTTGACTTGCGCCTCATCAATGAGTTGTTTCTTGTCGGTCTCCATCTGTCTGTTCAACTCCTCGATGTGTTCTTGATGTTGCTGTTGAATCTTAGAGACTTCCACTATGTGATGCTCCTCCATCTCCTGAACGGCTTGGTGATGGGAGAATGTCAACGCTGAGATCTAAAGCAAGAAAATTGTGTTGAAAAACAAGCAGATTTGTAAATTGAGTCAATCAGAAGTCAATCAGAAGTCAATCACATGTCAATCACATGTCAATCACACGTCAATCACAAGTCAATCACAAGTCAATCACAAATCAATCACAAGTCAATCACAAGTCAATCACCACTCAATCACAAGTCAATCACAAATCAATCACAAGTCAATCACAAGTCAATCACAAGTCAATCACAAGTCAATCACAAGTCAATCACCACTCAATCACAAGTCAATCACAAATCAATCACAAGTCAATCACAAGTCAATCACATGTCAATCACAAGTCCATCACAAGTCAATCACATGTCAATCACAAGTCAATCACAAGTCAATCACAAGTCAATCACAAGTCAATCACAAGTCAATCACATGTCAATCACAAGTCAATCACAAGTCAATCACAAGTCAATCACAAGTCAGTCACAAGTCAATCACAAGTCAATCACAAGTCATCCAGTCCCTATTCAAGTCAAAAGCTATTTAAATGACCTGTGACAAAGGCATTCCTTTGTCATTATTCATCTCTGGTTACCTCTGACCTGACTTGTGAATTGACTTGTGAATTGTACGATCGACTTGTGATTGACTCGATTATAAAACTCTGAAGACAAGACAGTGATATCAAATACAAAAAACTGCTCAGACAAACTGAACTACTGGTAGCACAAGTTTGAGCCGTCGCATGCAGAGCGTCAAATTCAATACACTAACAGTACAAACTTCAACTGAACACATCTGTTTTTACTGGACAAATATGGTAAAATAGTCTGAAAACGACCTGAAATTTCACCTCCTACAATAGCAAAGATAATAAGCAGTTTACAAGTTCAATTGATATGTCTGGTGAACGTTGCGAATTTGAAATGTGCTCAACTTGCCAAAACTTGCCTTGATGTCACGCATACACGTTTTTGCATACGCTTTCACGCCAAGTTTACAGCCCCATTTATTGTTTATAACTGTTGGAACACAAATTTTCAACTGAGTTAGCAGTTTGTGGGAAATACTGGGAAAAAAACCTACCTGAGTTAGGTGTTCCTCTGTCAGTGAGTTGATTGCTTGCTTGTGCTCACTTTGTGCTGAAATTAGAGGAACAAACAGAACGACTGAATGATGATAAGCTGTGTTACAGTAATCAAACTTCCTTCCAAAAGTTATCAAATCCTAGAAAACGGATTTCATAAGTGGAACATCACAGTATCAATCACATGCAGGTCTTAGCCATGATATTTTTCAAAGCTTCTAAGTCAATTTTATGAAGTATTCTCTGACTTAAGCAGGGCACCTCCGGCCAAAGAAAAAAAAAAAAAAATTCAGTTTGCTGATGGTTATTCTGTTTACATCAGATGGCGTGTATACATGCAAAGGTTTGCAGTACTTGGAACAGGTGACGGATAAACACGCAATGAGCGAGGCTGGAAATATCTGTCAGTGACCCGCTCACAGCCAGCGAGGCCGGAAATATCAGGGTGTGCTACCCGCAGATGACAGCCTGAACCCGTCTAGCATCGAACTTCGTGAAAAACAATCCCGCACCTTTGACCGGCCAATGTCAAATAATCCCGGCACGTACGGGTTAATAAAATTGCGACCAGGTTTGATGGGTATACGTACTGCTGAGGAGTTGTTCAGTGTACTGTTCCTGTAATCTTTCATCTTGCTGTCGGAGTTGCTCAAGGTGATCAGTCTGTAGCTTAGCTACTTGCTCTTCATTACTTCGCCTCGTGTCCACTAGCTCATGTTGGATGCAGCCCAACTCTTCCTCTTTTTGACCTGATCACAAAAACAAAACGATAATGTTGATCATTTTTAACTAGGAGTTAATATATTTTTATTTGAGACCTGAACATCAGTTATTTACAACCGTGAATGGCAAAGTTTAACATAAAAAAAGTAAAGATCACTGCAACAACCCAACAATTCCATAAAAGTGATGAGTATCGTCCCCTGCTATGTAACCGACATACAGATCCTTGTCATTTGATTGGTGGAACTCATATCACGTGACATTCGTTATTGCTCCCATTCACGCCGCGGCTCATAAAGTACTATCCGCCGATGGGGAATGGGAAATACTATTGAACAGTTAGGATCATTCTTGTTCCATTATGCGGCATTTGTGTGCAAATGCATGCTGATGTGCGCGTTCAGCATTGCGCGTAGCGCGTATTGTTCCAAAGAGCCAGCGCTACAGCGTTGGGTTCAAACACTTTCGTGAAGGGGTGGTTTGGAAGAGAGAAATACATTTTCCTCCAGTTTTGTATTGAAATAAAAGCTCAAATATATCAAATGACAAGGATCTATTTGTCAGTTATATAAAACAAATATTGAGTGGCTTTAAATTGTGAAATGTGAGGAATATTATCGCTCGGTAAAATCTGGACTTTTCCAGTTCACTCGGCTTCGCCTCGTGAAATGGAAAAGTCCAGATTTTACCTTGCCACGCTGAGCCACTCAATATTTGTATACTATATGGTGGTTGATTCGTTAGAAGTTGGCATTTTTAAGCAGGTTAATGCTTCAGGTCCCCATCAATGAAGCGTACAGTACTTCAAACATTATGAAAGGTTACCATTTACAGACCTCAACTAATTTAACTAGTTTAACAGAAAGTGTTGGAATTCTTTAAGTTAGACAGACATTACACTTCAATGAACCTGGAAATTCACCTGTGATGGTCTTGGCTTCTTCAAGTTGCCGCTGAAGTTCCTGTATTCTGGACTTGAGGTGTGGGTTGTCAAAGGCATCCAACTGAATCACCAAAGATACAAACACAAAATGAAAGAATGCACATTCAACAAAAACACTTTCATATGCATGACATGTTAACAGTTGCTTTAATATTCCTAAATAACAATTCAGTTCAATGTCAAGACAACGTCAAACATATCCCACTGAAACATTTCCACACATGTATTACTCCGCTTCTTAAAACTCATTAAAGGTATTGTACATTTACTTATCACTTTAAAGGGAATGTACAACATTTGCTTTTGCTGCAGTTTTCATAAATTAATGGATTTGGAGATTAGTATGTTATAGCAAATGTTGTTACACTGACTTGTTTCACGTTTTGGGTTCGTAGATGCTGGAAAAAACAAGAAAACCAATCATATTCTTGTAGTCTGGTTCCCTGACCCCACTCAAGATTAAACGGAGCAATTTATAGACTTTGGGGAATTGTAAGTTCAGAGAATCAGTGTAGCAGGTCTGTAGTCTTCACAGGTGTGTAATCAATTGCAAAGAAAATACAGATGAACTACATATGAACATTAGGAGCACGCTTTGCAAAAAAAGTCTATTTTTCCAACGCTGGTCGGCCGACCAGCGTTGGAAAAATAGAATTTTTCTTGAAAATGTCAGCACACCAGGAGCCACAACTTTACATGATGCTTTAGACTGTCATTCCCTAACAATCCAGTAAGGTATTTCGTGATAATTTTACCATTTCGTTTTTTGATGTTTGCAAATGTTGTATCTTCCCTTTAATGGTTTGTTCATATGACACAGCGATTGCACATATGCCCTTTGGGCAATCCAGAAAAGTAACCCACCTCCCCCTTGTACCTTGTGGCAACACCAGACCTATAGAATGTTATTTATGTTTACTCTTAGGTTTTTTTTAGGATCCCTCCTCAATCCTCCTCCAAAGATTCACCACTATGCAGGAAAGTACCCAATGGCACATTCCTTACATTTGTCCTTCAGCTTTCAAGAAGCATCCAGCCCATTATGGTACTAGTCATTAGGCTGTTACTTTCCAAATGCTGCAAAACTCTCTCAAACGTCCTGGTGGATTTGGGGAGAATCAGGGAGGTTAAAGGGAATGTACAACATCTGCTTTTGCTGCAACTTTCAGAAATAAATGGATTTGGAGGATTACAATGTTACAGGAAAAATTGTTACACTGACGCTTTTCACATTTTGGGTGCGTAGATGCTGGAAAAACCAAGAAAACCAATCATTTTTCTTGTAGTCTGGTTCCCTGACCCCACTTAATATGAAATGGAGCAATTTATAGACTTTGGGAAATTGTTAGATCAGAAAATCAGTCTAGCAGGCATGTACTTCTTCACAGGAGTGTTATCAATTGCAAAGAAAATGCAAACGAACTAAATATGAAAACTTAGGAGCTCTTTTTGAAAAAAGCCAGTTTTCTCCAGCACTGGTCAGCCGACAAACGTTGGAAAATTACAGTTTTTCTTGAAAGTGTCAGCACACCAGGAGCCACAACTTTACAGGCTGCTTTAGACTGTCATTCCCTAACATTCCAGCAAGGTATTTGGTGATAATATGACCATTTGGTTTTTTGATGTTTGCAAATGTTGTATCTAAATAAGGGTCCACTGTACTAATTCAAGCCCCATTGAAAACAGAGTAAAATCAACAAAGTTCAGGGTCAAGTAACATGCAAGCCAACGTCACTGGGGTTTCTGAAACAAAAATTAACTTATTGTCTTGTCTTTCATCTTTTCATTTCTTTTCAATTTTACGTACATTAGCCAATTACATTTTTAAATATTCACACCCAAATAAAATCACCTCCCGAAAAGTGATAGTTCCCAAGCCTGAATGTAGCCATTTGAAGAGTGGCACCCTTCCACTTTCACAGGCAAATAGGACCCATTTTTTCATCCGTGATTTTATCAAGCCTGCCCTCAGATGGAAGCCCCAAAACCAAGGAGTTGATCCTTGGGTATATTTAAACAATTCCACCGTTTTTAAAGCCAAATGGTCTCCGTTTTCAAAAGAAATTGTGGGGGCACTTTTTATGCTAATCAGCTGGCGTAGAAATTCTCGCTTGAATTAGTTCAGTGCACCCTATAATCTTCTCTTTAAAGGCTCATAGCCGCTCACCTTGTGTGTGAGGTATTGCACTAATATGCTCATTGCATCAAATCCCTGCAGCCCAGCTCTGAGATTCAGCTTGATCAGATTCAGTTCTTTGGTTCTGGACTCGCAGAGCGCCTCTAGTCGTTTGACGTCGGCCTGGGCTTTGGCTAGAATCTCAGGGTCTATGGAGGGGGCCGGTGACGGGCTGGAACGACCCTTTGCTGACTTGGTGGTATCAGCTTCTGGACGGAAAGCAAAACGATTGAACATTGAGTTAAAATTAGCGTATTTAAAATAACCTGAAAAGACATGTTGCTATTATTTTTATTCAGCAATGATATAAATATACCTAAGCTGTATTTATGCCCCGGGAGATTGAGCAGGGGTAATAATGTTGAGCAGGGGTAATAATAACCGTACACAATATCGACAAATTTGGTAGATATGTGTGCTTAATCTATATTTATTGTTTATATTTGTTTATTTCATTTCAAATGAAAACCGTTAATTCAAAATTCAGTTATGGCACTCATCAGTTTATATTAGGAGGAAAAATGTTTTTGCAATGTAAAATGTTTTTTTCCCAGGGTTCTTGAACAAACCTCAACTTGACCGCACTCATGTTACATTTACACAAACAACAACCCAGACCGCACACCCACACACTATGCCATTTCTCCGCTGATCAGAAAAACACACATTGGATAAAAGTTCAGAAGTGAGAGCTGTCAAGTCAAATAAGCGACGGGGAACTGAGCCGGGACGTTGATTTGTGAAAACACTGCGATGTGTACTCAGTCAACTTGCCGGTCCTCCTCTTGGGAACGACAAGGTAATCAAAAGAAAACACGGCCCAGACTGGACGGTCTGTGAGGGGAAGATGGGTTGGCAAGAGGGATTGAAAGAGGAACGAGGACAGAGAAAGATAACGAAGCCCAATTTCACAAAGCTATGTTAAAGGGAATGTACATCATTGGCTTTTGCTGTAATTTTAAGAAATGAACTACATGTACTTGAGGGGTTAGTATAACGGATCAAATATTGTTACACTGACATGTTTGAAGTTTTGTGTTCGAAAATGCTGGAAAAACCAAGAAAAACGAAAATGTCCAAGTAGTCTGGTTCCCCGACTCCACTAAGGATAAAATGGATCAATTTATAGATGCCGGAAAATTGTAAGGTAAGGGAATCAGTGTAGCTGGCCTGCACCCGTTCATGAACATGTTACCAATAGCAAACAAAATGGACTGAAAAAATGGTAAATTTGAAGCAGAAGTTGAAAAATAGTTAGGTTTTTCCAACGGTGATCGGCCGACCACTGTTGGAAATGTATACGAAAATGCCAATTTCTTGAAAATGACTTCACACAAGGAGCCATAATTTTACAGGATGCTTTTGACTGTCATTTACCAACATCCAAGTAAGGTATTTCGTAAAAACTTGATAGTTTTATTTTTCGATGTTTGCAAATGTTGTATATTCCCTTTAAGGACTCTGTGCTTACCATCACCGGTCTGTGCTAGCAGTGCTCGCACAGAAAGTACTCAGTTACAAGATGAACACATTTATAAGCACACGCCAAATGTCCTTGCTAACCTGTGAAATATGCTAACCATTACCACAGAATGTTGTGCTTCAGAGGACCCACGTACTGAAACTTGACAAATGAAAAAAGCATGTGTAGGTCAGGCACTGACTACAGTTTTGGATGGTTAATTATCCCTGCTTTGTTTGGATAAGAATCTGTAATACATATAAGTTCATTTATCATATCCAAACTATTCACAAAAAAACTGACAAATAAGCCATGTTGCTCTATGAATAAAAGCAACAAACTGGGCACAGGAACAAGCGTGGCCACAAGACCTTATCCATCTATCACAAACAATGAGTCATCCTACGATAAACAAACTTCCTTCCCTTACATGAAAAATGTCAGACATAAGGAATTTGCAACATGAAGTTAAATACAATGTTCATTTATTTATACTCTGGGGCCAGACATGGAGACTTTGCTGCTGGAGGAATGCTTGAAGGTTACTTTCAAGTGCTGTAATGACAGTTCTTCGTTTGTCGAGAGTGGCGGAAGAAAAATAATTTAAAAATCCAAAGATTCCAGCCGATGCTTCTGTCACAGCATTGCTTGTTTATTAGCGGAGTTCATCAATCAAACTTAAAATCATTCAACTGAATGAACAGTGACATTTTATAGTTGTGACTCATATTTTTATTGAAAGTGATGGTACTTGTATTTTTTACACGTACCGGTACACGATGAAGCTGTTAAGTGTGTACAATATGTTCACTGAGAGAAAATAAGGTCAAATATAATAAGCTCTTCATCATGCAGTAGGTATCAAAGCAAGTTTGGTACAATTACAAATATCCATACATATATACACAAACCTGGAGCAGTCTTTTATATTTCTGCACATGAATTGGAAATTGACATACGTGTAATTTGAACGATAATACATGTAAGGTGATCATATTAGAGGCAGTCCTACTTTTTAGTGTACATGTACGTGAAGTAAAACTGCAATGCTGAGTTCAATAAAGTTAAGCGTCTTTATAGAATTAGAAAAGAAAGAAAATTACCCACAGCCGATAGCAACATGCGTCCACATATTTTGTGATGTGAGCCGCAGTGATATTGTCCGTTTCAGTGGCGAGGATCCTTGCAAGAATTGCCGATGCATCTTACACACCATCAGGATTGTCAATGTCGATCTAAGAATCCCCCGGAAAACAATTCCACAACCAAAGGATCCAGTCACGTCAGACTCTGACAGTCTTGCAGTGACACACAGCAACAGCAAGCAACTGCGGATGTTTCTCAAAATTTCCTGGACAGAAAGTTTCACTGATGTTGAAGGGCACAGCTTCCCGTTGGCACACACCCCTTTCTTTGTGACTGTGCACTTTTCAGGCCTCTTCAAATCCGTGTTCCTGTCATGTTGAGCTTCATGTCAAGGTTTATGTAGAATTAGCGGAGAGTGTGGCACAACTAGTGTCGGCACAACTTCTTTTCCAACAAACAGAAAAGAAGGATTCATTTTTCCCGAATGACTGGAGAAGGAAATTCAGAATCTTTCGAGTTAGAGTATTCTACTTCCATGGACTTGTACATTCGTTGTTGCTTTGCAAATTTGTGGGCTTGATTGGCTAGGAAATGGATATTGGGATTTGAGAGGAATGACTAATGGATATGACAGGAAGAGGAAACGGTGACAGACGCAGTGCCCTGACAACACACTGTTTGCCAGTATACTAAGCAGAGTTTCTTTGCAAGATAGCAGAACTTTACTAAGGCTTCCAATTACTCGAATCCCCAATTCAATGCAAGAACTTTAAGATAGCAGAACTTCACTAAAGCTTCCAATTACTCGAATCCCCAATTCAATGCAAGAACTTCAAGATAGCAGAACTTTACTAAAGCTTCCAATTACTCGAATCCTCAATTCAATGCAAGAACTGCAAGATAGCAGAACTTTACCAAAGCTTCCAATTACTCAAATCCTCAATTCAATGCAAGAACTGCAAGATAGCAGAACTTTACTAAGGCTTCCAATTACTCAAATCCTCAATTCAATTTGAGAACTACAAGATAGCAGAACTTTACTTAAGCTTCCAATGACTCAAATCCTCAATTCGAGAACTGCAAGATAGCAGAACTTTACTAAAGCTTCCAATTACTCAAATCCTCAATTCAATTCAAGAACTGCAAGATAGCAGAACTTTACTAGAGCTTCCAATGACTCAAATCCTCAATTCAATTTGAGAACTGCAAGATAGCAGAACTTTACTAAAGCTTCCAATTACTCAAATCCTTAATTCAATTCGAGAACTGCAAGATAGAAGAACTAAAGCTTCCAATGATTCAAATCCTCAATTCAATTCGAGAACTGCAAGATAGCAGAACTTTACTAAAGCTTCCAATTACTCAAATCCTTAATTCAATTCCAGAACTGCAAGATAGAAGAACTAAAGCTTCCAATGATTCAAATCCTCAATTCAATTTGAGAACTGCAAGATAGCAGAACTTTACTAAAGCTTCCAATCGCTCAAATCCTCAATTCAATTCGAGAACACATTCACATGCCTATGAATAAACATTCTGAACTTCAGAAAGAAGTACGTCGCCCACGCTTTAGTAGAGAATAGTAAATTTAGTTATGTGTAACGTTTGTGTAAGTGCTAGCCAACCATTGCATAGTGTTGTATGATAGAAATTCAAACCATCTCACTCACATACCGTGCTAGGTTTTACTCAATAAGACTCAGCATCATAACAAATGAAGAAAACTTTATATTCTCTCATCAGCTCTGGGTTGTTCATGTACTTGTGAAGTGTGTTTGTCAAACAAAAGTCACTTCCAATTTACAAAATAAAAATGTACGGCTAGACTAGCACAAGACATCCAGAAACTTCTCCATGGAGGGAAGCATGCCAAAGCGGTCACAGTCACGGCAACCATGCTGTATCAACACAGGAAGTAATGACAAGAGTCTCAACATGATTCACTTGTAGCACACAGTGGTACGGACTGGTGAGCCCTGTCAAGTCAGTGACAGCTGTGTCAGACTATTCCCATATGGGTCATTCTTTGTAACACTACAGGTGGTGAACAGGGCTTTATTTGGTATGGAATTGTGCAAGACGATAATTTTGATATGGGTAAATGTGGTGCAAAGCTTCAACGGACGCTGTGCACAAGTACTCACTAAAAGAGGGAGTTACAAATGTACATTCAAATGAATTGCTGATGACGCCAGATGCCATGTAGAGACGCTATGGCTTTTGTGCACATTCCCAGTAAAATTACATGCTGTCGTGCACAATTTGTGTGGTAAGTGCGCATACCATTATGCACACGTGGTGTATCCCGTCCTCTGGGCTCTCCAAAATTGTCAAAAAGTGCCATCTAGAAATGTACATGTAGTCTGTTGTTGCATGGAGCACATATGCGCACTGCCTATCATAGGCTTGTTTCTGCAACAAGAGGACTACGGTAAATATGTAGTTTGTGTCTTGTAAGATTAACACCCTCTTATCAAAGTATGAAAACTGATGCCACTTTATGGATTTGGCTTTTCTGGAGACTTCTATGACAAGGTCATGGCACATTTTAAGGCTGACTGCATGTGTGACTGAGAAAAGCTTATTGAAAACTGTAGTTCAGCTGGATGCCCCAATGCACAGGCTCCATGGAAACTTTCCAAGTAGCTGGACTCACGCCAGAGATAGTCTCCAGTGAATAATGCTATCGGAGATTTACCAATCATGCTGCACCCGTACCAGTCAACGGCAGTCAGGGGTCTGGGAGCTAGGGGCCGGAAAGGAACAACTTGCATGGAACGGAGACAGTAATACCAAAGGATTACCCTGGATATTAAAGCTGTCAGGTACGGGGACCGCTAATCATATCAGGATGGTTTGCTGGTCTTTGCAACAGGTGGATGTACAAGCATATAATCAGATACCTCCTCCCTCTTACCACAAGCCCTACCCCCAAAACAGGTTCTTCACTGTGGTTTGGGTTGCTTTGAGCTTTCTTCTTGAGCAACTGCACATTTTTCAGTGGCAGAAATATAAAGGACACGATAGCACACAAGCCTATTAAAGTGCATACACTTCTACATTTTTCCAGCGCCTTGAGTACCTAATTGTTGGTAGATACGTGCGCTATATAAGACTCCGATATTATCATTATTAGTATTACACGCAGTATGGGTTTTCTATTCATTTTATTAACTATACATGCAGCATGTTGAAAGAAACTTCTACGCATGATGGAAAGGACCTACGATCCAAATATTTGCAAATTTCTTACCTCTGCCAAACGAGGGCCTCCTTGTGGTATCTTGTTGCTGTGCATTGTCTGTTTTCTTGCTTGGTAGCAGTGAGGTCCTGGGCAGCCTAGTGACAGGGCCTACACGTCTTACCGGAGCTGAAAATAGCCAAATCAAAGTGATTACATAAATATTGTCATTTGTTGTGGACAAAAACTCTTCAAGTATCAGGCTGGCATTCCAGATTCCTGCCAAACCAAATTATTTTGAAGATATGAATTTGTGAAAAGCTTGACCTTTGGACTACGCCAAAAGATGTACATGTCTGTACAATCACTGGGAATGACTCCGGTGTCTAGTCAATGCAATATTGATACACACAAAGTTTGTCCGTCTGAAACCTAAATCTGTTTGGTACGGAATCATTCCTAGAACTGTTTGGTCTGTACATTGTGCATGTAATTACCAGAACACTGCATTAGAAATCTACCCAGATCCTGAGGATTCATCAACGCAATTCCATGACAACTGGCAACAAGTCAATTAAACCTGAGATCTGTACAATCTCAAAGCTCTAGCGATTGACCTGACAAGTCACCATGATGTCCCTTATATGTTTCACCTTAAGTCTGGATTAAGTACACAACGTACAATGTACTAAGCACAGCATTGACATTTGTCTACAGTCTGCCAACATTTCCTGCTAAGGGTAACTGCCTCTTTGCCTGGGATGCGTCAGGTAACACCGTCACGCCCTTCGTAACACCATAACTGATCATACATGTTCTTGTTTCCCTCCCATTCAAGGGACATTGGTGACAATTTCAATCAAAAGAAAGAAATCTGGACAAGATTTCATGCTTTTGTATTACTTTTTAGACTCGAAATGTATTTTTCAAAACCTTACGAAAAGTTCTCAGATGCAAAAGGTCTGCTTTACATTCAAGCTTTACAAGCGCAACAGACTAAGTTTCTCACAACAAATGGTTTACAAACCCAAAATTCAGATTTTGTACACATTTACAACAAGTATTGAATCACAGTTGACCATGCAAACCCTCAATCTTTAGTTTTTTAAGCTTATGTGAACTTTGAATTGATTGCGCCCATAAGGTAAAAAGTTCAGCTTACCGGCATCTACAGACGTCACGCCATTGGTCAGTGAGTTGGTGAGCTGCGAGTCATTCTTTGACTGGTTCCCGTCAGCCTGTTTACCAGTGAAGTTCCTGGGCTTGGCCAGGGACGTCGGGGCCAGCCTACTGGGTCGGGAGAAGCTAAATGCTTGGGGTTTCGGTGTGACTTGAGGTGTTTCCTCTGTGACAGAAAAACACAGCATTGCATTACACACCATGCGACAGCTGTCTGAAAGACGCGTCTTAAATTTGCAATTTGTGATATGGTTACAACCGTTTTTACCATTTAGAGTACAAATTAAGGCAGTAAAAAAAGGCTAGCAATTTCCAAAAAAAAATTCAGAATGTGAGAAAGCTGTTACCAAATGGCTTTTGGAATGCAAAAATGTTAGAGTGTGAAAAATCAAATGGCTAGTATCTTTTGCCTAAGATGGCAACAATTATTTTTTTGATGTGAGTGATGATTATCAGCATTCATATATGTTTAGACTTAATATCACAGCTTGTTGTAGCATCAATCCATTTGCGAATCTTAAGTTTACAATACACCCAAGCTCAAGTGTTACGCCTTAGTATGCCACAAAATTTATTTTCATGTCAACAAAAAAATCATTTGTCAAGAAAAAAATGAACAAATAATGGAGCCATAAACAGCGCAACATGAATGAGATTTCCCTCAATGCCTCACATCATTGAAATCAGTGCATCTGAAGATTAAAACCCAACCACCTTATTGGAATTAATGAATTCTCCTCAAATTTTTATTCAATTCAAAATACAAAGTGTGAATTCTTTGCAACTAACGGTATGAAACAAAACCAATATTGAAAGTTACAAAATGAAAATGGAAGTCCAAACCAATGTTTATGGAAAAAATCATAGTGCAGCTGTCGGTATAAAGATGCTGTTCTTCAAATGCAATTCAACTTCACCACAGACAATGGGGATAAAGATTAAAGATCAGAACAAAACCCCAAAACAACCACTTATTTTGTATTAATTAGCATGCATATTTATGCAGAGAATGGGGGAAGTGAATATATACAAAGTATACAATTCTGACAAAAATGGAACTGACTTGGAACCTATATGAAAGTGGGTATAATGAAATTTAGGGATTCGGGAAAATTAAAAAACTCAAAAGTGAAGACATTCGAGGATGTGGGTTCCTTCCTGGAGGTATTCTTAAAAAGAAATAATAACTAACAAAAACACATCCTTTTACATGTATTAGCTTTAGCTTTAAAAGAACATAGCTGGAAAAGTACTATTTATGTAAATGTGCTGTGGAATGTGCAACAAAGAACCAACAGAAATTTGTGAAAGATTCAAATTTTAACCACTGGAACAATGGTAAAAATAAACAAAATTATAACATCAAAAATGAGTATTAAAGGTACAGGTATAAAAATCAATCATGTTCTGTAAAGAAAAGTATGGTGAAATAAGTGTATGATAGTAAAAGAATAAAAAGAATTCACATCAAATTAAGGAACCTAAAAGCAGTTCATAGCACATTGCAAGCTACACATGTGTGAAACAAAAACTGTCAAAAAAATTAAGAGTTTTTGGTAAAAGTAATTGAAAACTGCACTGGAAAATGTAAAATTGTGGTCACATCAATAAAAATGCAAGCATAGCATATTAAAGCGAATGGCAAAATCACATCAATACGTAACTCAAAGTGATACAAACTTCATTTTTCCCTAATGTGCTTGATATGTTTGTGCCATTCATGAATGAAATGATGAAAACTGAAAATGATGCCACCTTGAAAGCCGACCTTTGACCTCTGCAAAACTTAAGTACTTACTCCTAGGAGTAGGGCGAGGGCGCTTTACATGATGCTTAGCTGTGGTTCAAAATTGCAGTTGCATAGAGAGAACACAAAATTTGTGTTAAATCAAAGTTTTTATTTCCACAAGGTGTTGAACGAAATTGGAGGTGTTAACAAAATAGCAACTCAGGGATGAAATATTTTCGATAGAGGGAAAGGTATGGGATACATGGAACAGTTTGTGTTAAAAAAAATTTAAATTCAAAAGAACATTTTTTTGCAGCAATTTTAAAGAATTGTTAAGGAGCACAGATATTGGACAAAACAAAAACAAAGAAACAGTTGGCAGTACAGAAAAACAAACTGACAGTGTTAACAAAATGAAACTAAACTTTTGCTAGGATGCCACTGGCAATTATAGATCCTACTTGCAAATATGCATTGAATTGCCTATGGCACTCAAGGAAATTGACTGGTCTCAAGAGCAATATGTATAATGCATGACCATTATCCGCTTCTGCAATATGTATCGCGTTACAAGTTCCAAATGGCTCAAGGCCCTAATATTGGCAATGTACATTTTCATTGATACACTTGTCAATAATTCATTGGCGCTCAACATCAGTTGCACAGTCTGTCAGTTTAAGTAGAATTTCCTGTCCGTCCAGCTTTGCGCAAACAAACACATTTGCACCGCGCTGCTACATACATGTGCATCCACAAACACAGCGCAACCGCGGCATAGGCAATAAACATTACACGGACGGTACAAATTCATCCGTGGAAATTGCGGGGATACCTGAGATGCTTTTAATTTTAGAGTGAAATGTCTAGTGTTAAGGAAGAGATGACCGTCTTTCACCTTGAGATTTTGTTTTTCATCCTGATATTATTGAATGGTTAATTTTACCAGGAAATATCAATTGAGGTCAATAGTCTTAGTCAAGGAAGTCCGCTTCAAATTAAGTTACTTTCACAGATCTTGTTTAGAGACATAACAATGAAAATGACAGAGACGTTAAAACTAATATATTTTTTTTTCATCTTTTCATTATCAGTGTTTTTAAGTGTACTTTCTGTTTAGGAATATGAACTGAATAGGCCTACATGTGTATTTTATAGACCTACATTTGTTTTTCAACTCCAAATACCTGGAAAATCACAAGATTGTTCGTGATGCTTTAAAAATTGTCCTTTCAGCTCAATCTAAGGTTCTTAAATTTAATTTTTTTTAATAACTTGCTTCTAAGAATGAAGAAATAACAGGATTGAGTTTGCCTTTTGACAAAAGTCAAAATTTAGCAGATGTGTCAGTTGATACTTGTCTTAAATTACCTAATATCAGTATTGTCTAAAAGTAATAAAATAACATGCTATACAAAACAAAATAGAAGGAATGTTTTTTACCAGGGCTATTTTTACTTCACTGAAGGTTTCTCACTGAAATGCAGAATATATTTCTGAAAAATTTCAAAATTATTTTATAGGCCATTTTGACTAAAGGTAGGGTAGATCATTTGTCATTTGTGCACATTTGAAGCAACAAAAGTGCTCAAAATCTTACGACAGGTGCTTAAGAACTAACCTGAAGTTTTAGCCCAGTGAATGCTGTATATTCCAAGAAAACAATATTCTAGGATCTCGATTTCAATTCAAAAGTTGCAGAGTCATGTTTTGAATTGCTGCCGAAATCAGCATCCGGGGCATGTTCTCATTCAGTCGATTGCAGCTAGCGATGTCACGCACTGAACCGACAAATAATAGCAATCGCGCGTGCATGTGCATCGTGTCAACGCTTGCGCGACCCCTTCATGGATTTGCCGAATTACAAACCAACTACTAATGAAAATTTCCAAAAAAGTGTCACTTGACACATCTTTGGAAATAGCTTCTTTTATTGTTTTCGTCATAATGACAGCATGCCAGAAGGAATAATTTCAAGGGTGTTTAGTACAATAACTATCTTTAAACCAAGTAAGCTTTTCAGTTTGGTCAGTTACTTTTTGGATAGCTGCAAACCTTTACACGTAAATGATGTAAATATTTTGGTATACAGCGTGTGTCAATAAAAACGCAGGATTCAAAGCGATTTTTTTTCTGAGAAAATTATGCTACTGGTGTGCCTAATTTGATAAGGATTGGATTGTCCATAATTTCATCTTTGACAAGATTTTTGTTTGGTGGAATTTAGACTTATGGTTTAAAAGGTATGACAAGTTTTGTGAAGCCCTTCTGAAGCGGGTTGGTCTGATTCAATGACCTTAACACAACGACCAGTTATGTACAATGCAGGTATGCATTGAAGACAATTAAACCAGAACAAAACTTTCTTTGAAACAACTGATGATAAGTATCACTTAAATTTAATAACTGGACTATCATTGTTTCAAAGCATCATGAATTATTGACTAATAAAATTGATTGTGGACTAAAGGATTATGTAAGCCTAATCCTGCCACACATGTCCTTCTTTGTGATCCACAAATACTTTCACCTGTACTGAATTCAAACCTTTCATTAGGTATGTGTGATTTCACAAATCAGACCAGCTTGGGATTTATAACCCTTCTTCAATGTACTCTATCTCTGGACAGGATTGTCCAAATGAGATGGGATAAAAAGCATAGTGAAGAGAAGGAAAGGTACTTTGAAAAGAGGGTTAACATTATGATGAATAGGGGTGGTTTACATTCTTAATATTTTTGTTTCTAATCCTGCGTTTTTATTGACACACGCTGTAGTCTTCAGAATAAGGCCTGAATCCCACAAGCCATATTCCATTCCCAACCTGTTGTTACACTGCCTCCGGGGCAAGGCATGACAAGCATGTGTACCGCCGCATCGTTATCATACCAGTGCCTTCCTGTAGTGTTGCTAACATGTGCAAGCCAGCTTCACTGAATAATTTCAACCCCCCCCCCCTTCAAGTATATAACCGGGTCGTGGGAGCCAGGCGATTGTTGACCGCAGACTGCATAGATTAGGCCTTAAGGGAAGATTCTCATCTTGATGGAGGATAGTAAGAGCCCTTAAACTTGGAAATCATTTCTGAGGTGATTGCTGGATTGTTGATGGACATCTTGAAGATGCATACATGTTTACTTGCAATTGAGATAAAAATGAAGTTGTATTTTGTGATTTGATCATCCATTAACCATGTGTAAACCGTTGATTTTGTCCACAAATAAACTGTCTTGGGGCTTTGCAATCCCTTAGACCACATTAAAGTTTAATTTTTAAATTACATTTTTTTTCCAACTTAAAGTTGTTTACTTTTCACTGTGGATGCAGTGAATTATTTATGCCTCAAAAGCATTACCGTTATAGAAGAATCATTGTCAGAATTTGCATTTAGATTTCCTTTCCGTTTTTGATTTGGGAAATGTTATTCTTGGAATATAGGTATTAAGATTTTATAAACTATCTAGTAGATGCACGCTTGAACCGAACCAGGTAAACATCTGTGCCAGATCAACTCAATCGACGGTATGGGAACTCTCAATCAGACCAGAGGTAAGGGTTTTAAACCAGCTATGATTCATGCCACAACAATTTATAGTTTCTGGTGCAGTTTGTCTTCATCGATGAACAGCCGCTTCCACCAGCACCCCCGTTAATAATTACACAATGTAAGTCACTTGCGGGAGAGATACACCAGACACTATCAAGTTTGAGGAAAAACATCTTCAATGTTTGGAAGAGGAAAGCCTTAGGGATGAATCATGGCAAATTAGAGAGGGGGAACTTGAGGTGATTTACCATCTGATGTGGAGGTACTGTGTCTGGAGGAGAGAGAGGCTCTGGATTCTGTTCGCTGTGATGTCTCCGAGTTGACCGTTGATGTGCTGGTCTTACGTTCCTGACGACCCCGGTCTGTGTGGCGCAGCGACGAGGTCGTCTTATTGGCTGGCTTCCCTCCTGTTGATCAACGGAAGTCAAATCATTATTAATTCATCAGAGCACCTCATCAGTGTTGAAGCTTCATGGTTCATCACTTTCAAACGGTTTGGGGATATATTTAATTCAGACACAGATCAATTGTCAGATAGGGGAAGGGGCTGTGTCAAGAAATTTGGCGGAAATATGATTTATTCAGATGGATGACATTTAAATGTTCGGTTGACATTTTATGTTACATCTGATAGTCATTATAACATTGCAGGCTGGCTAGAGGATTCAGTTTGCATGAAAATGTGATGTGGAATGAAATGAACGTAGCACATGTAGATACATGTAAGCACATCATCATTGAGCAGAATAATAAAGGGCATTATATACACCCAAAGAATACCATTTTTCAAAATTTCAAAGATGTAAACAATTAATGATGACGACCTTTCAACTGATCTCAGAGCAAATCTCACACCCAAATTATTAAGCTTATTTTTTAAAAAATCTGGCAAGTCTCATCTCAGGTTCGGTTTTTTTTGTGTGTTTTTTTTAGTAAAAGTAACAGGTTTTGAAAAACGTACCGATTGAGCTGCTTCTACTACTGGTTTTTGTGGCGACACCACTCAGATCAGATTTCATGCTCCTGTTGGAGGATGACAGACTGTTGGGTTCAACTTCCAAAGATGAAGTGCTGTTCTGTCCAGTAGACTTCTTGTTGGTCAAGCTGGGCTTGTTACCAGTCAGGTCCACCGATCTCCTTCCCGTGTCAATTTTACTCTTGATGCCAACCAGCTTGCTGCTTGCCTTGGTGTCTTTGCCAGTCCCAGTCTCCGTTGTCTTCTGTTTTGGAATGGTACTAGTGGGGTTGCTGGGATTCTTACTGGTGGCAGCGGTGGGAGTTTTGCTGTTTAGCTTCCAGGAAGGGGTGTAGCCTTTCTTGGGTTTGTACTCTTGGGCCGGGGCATCTGGTTTAGAGTCCGACGATTTGGCGGCAGCGAGTTTGAGCTTAGCGGCTGCTACGTGACTCTTGGCTGAAGACTCACTGTCTCTGCTTGAGCTGAAGGACTTTGGTTGCTGGAGGTATGACATTCGCTTCCGAGGTAATTTAGAGTCGCTGTTTTCTTTACCTTTTTGTGGTTCGGTAGGTGATGTCGTTGCAGGCTGCGTAGTGGGTCCTGAATCAAAGACCTCAGGTCCAAATTTCTTTTTGTTGTATGAAGGTGATACCATCTCAGCCATTTCACATTGTGTCACGGTCTCAAGCTCAGCGGACGGACATCTTTCCCTCAGTCCTATTAGCTTTGTCTGGTCTTTGTCAGTTTCGGAGGTTCCCTCTGCAATGACCGTGCTGGCACTTTCACTGCTTCCCTCAGATACAAAGCTTGTCTCTTTCTCAGCGGTAACTTGGTCAAATGTTGTGTTCAGGATGTTCAGAGTTATTGCTGGGCTGACTGCTTTAGCCACTCCCGTTTCTGCCTTCTCTGAACTTGAGTTGATTTGAAACACCATCTCCTCACCTGTGCTGACTTTCACGTGTGTTTCTTGCTTTGGGGATGTTGAATGACACAAAACATGGTCAGCTGCTTCAACTTTGGGCTCATTCGCTGCAGATCCATTGCTACTCAACAGCATGTCTCCATTAACCTCCGGCAATTTAGATGTCTGCGGTACATCTTCCGTTTCTAAATCCTCCTCTGCCTGTTGTACAAGATTCTTCCACTCGTTGCTCAGATCCTCAGTAAATATGCACTCATCTTCCTCTCCAAGTAAGTTGCTTTCCACATTGGGAGCCTTCTGACTGTAAGAATCTTCACTGCTTTCTTTTGCAGACAGAGATTTTTCACAGGGCACGATGGTAACAGATTTGTCATCTGACTCATTCATTGCACTGTTGTTGCTAGTTCTACTGTCTAATGTTGGAGCAGGTCGTTTATTGTTGACTGTTGGGTCAACCTCTGTATTGTTGTTTGTTATGTCACTATTGTTGTCAGCAGTTAATTTCTCTGCCTCTAAACTTCTGTTTGCTGGGTCCTCAGGTTCATCTAACTCGTGAGTTGGTTCTAATTTACTACTAACGCCTTCTGGCTCCTTCTTGTCTGGCAAATTTGTCTCTAAATGTGCTGCTTCTGAATCCATACTCCAGGCCGGCACTAGAAAGGAAGGAATACTTTCGAAAGTTAAATCCGCGCCTACTAAGAGATAGTCATCAACAACTGTCAGAGAATCCAAGACTTTTGGTTTGCAGTGGTCAGTGAGTTGCGGCTCGAGTTGTTGCTCAGGGAGTTGTAGTTCAGCGAGTTGCGACTCGGCGAATGTTTCCTCAAAGGATGGCGGCACTTTGTTTTGTGGACTCTCCAAGGGAATGTTACAGTCTTTCAATGCTTGTTCGAACTCTTCTGGGGTCAGGAGATCAAATCTTAATCTGCCTGTGGGGGTGTCGAGGGATGATGGAACAGCCCAGAATTCATTGTACTCAATATCCTCCTCCTCTGCGTCTAAGGGCACGTATGTCGCTTTGACGTCAGATTGTGTTTCCCCCTCTGGTTCCCAGAAGTAGTTGTTTTCATTTGACGACAATGGAGTGGATGTGACCTTATCACGAGGTTCCCAATACAACGGGGAATCTTTATTTCCAATGTCAAAGGTAGTATTCAGGTCTTTAGTGGCAGTGGCAGTGGAAGCGGAGCCCCTTCGATATTTCTTCTCCCCTGTTATCGGGGATATTCTATGTGTTCCTATCCCAACTTCAAAAGTTTCGTTGAGGGTGGTCTTGGGTCGAGCGCTGCTTGGCTTTCTCAATTTTGATTTGTCACTTTCAGCTTGGGAACCATCTTGCAATAGCTGTGTCAAGTCATTGAGACTTGGTCTTGAGGACAGTCCCTTTTTGAGGCTCCCGTTAGATGACTTTCTGGTTCTAGGACTAGGTTGCTCAGGGGTTCTTTTCCTTGATGGGGGGCTTCTATCTGTTGGCTGAGGGCGGCAGGCAGGGCTTTGATCACGACTTAATGTGAAAGTTGCATCATGGCAACTCACAGAGGGGGATTTTGAAGGTATGGAGGACAGTCTACTTGTTGGAGGTGATCTATCATGGGTCCAGCCCGGGACAGTGATGCCAGAGTCCGCAGGGCTGATTCTCTTTTTCTGAAACAGTTTGCTGCCGTTTGATGCCTTCTCAGAAGAAGAAATACACTCAATTCTGGTCACTTCGGTCCGCTTGGGCAGGCTCCGTCTACCAACGGTCACCTTACAAGTTGTTTTTTCCTCGCTCACGAGTAACGATTTTGGTCTGGCAATTCTCCCGCTGACTCCCAGAGATGGTATCTTACTGGATGCTTTGGTGTCCTTCCCGGTTCCCTGCTGTGATTGAAGTGCAATCTTGCCACTCGTGTTGGGCGCCAGCTCTAACGGTTTGACCTCACCGGCTGAGTTCACAGCCTGTACCTTAAAGGCGTGGATGAATATCCCATGGTTGGGGCTGCACTTGAAGTACTGGATTCCATCCACACTTCCGTCATTCTTCCCAACGGGTTCATCCAATTGGATTCCACACAGGCAACCCTGGGAGAAATGAGTCTTGCCCTTGAACTGTAACGTCCCGACGCGTCCGTCAGCTGTCCAGACCCGTTGACCGATCAAGAGATGCTTGCTTTGCAGGACGCTGGACTTCTGGGGGATACCGGAACCAGCCGAAGTGGGTGATACATTGAGAGGTTTGAGCTCTGGTGACTTGAGTTTGCTGGAGATGGCTTTTGGAGTCTGTAGGAGGGAGCGACGGTTTCGGGTGGCAGGTAGCCGACTCTCAACCTGAGTGGCCTGTGGGGGGGGGGGGGGAAAGAAGAAGCAAGAATCGGTTAATTGATAACATTTTAAACAAATGATCATCAGCCATCTTTGCCACTGATTTTGCACGGACTGCTGTGACACATACACTGTTATGTGTTCACAATGGACTAAATTGGGTAACGACTGAGGCCATATTTATCTATGCAGATTGCAAATCAACATATTCACTGTAATTGTACATCATTTTTATGCCTACATGAAAAAATGACTGCCACAAAATATGTGCATTTATTTTTGTATGAAGATGTACATATGTATACGTGTATGTATTGCCTGAAAATTCGGGTACGTGAAAGAGTTTATATTGTGCCTGTACATGTATACATGTGCGGTACCTAGTGTGCATACATAAAATTTACAAAAATGTACATGCGCAGTTTTTTTGTATGGGTACTCATACATGTACATGTACATGTACATGTACTGTACATGTACTGTATGTGCTCAAGGAGTAACAATTGATTCAGACTTTCAGTAATTATTCATTCATGAAAACATTTTATGGCAGAGTTATAGCAGAGGCATTACAAGGTACCATACTTATTCAAGGGACAAACACGTTAATAGACTATACCTTCTTTTTTAGTAGTTGGAGATGTGTATATTATCTTTTTTATGAAATGAATTTGTAGATTGTGCACAGATTTTTGGTAATAATGAAAAATTATTCATGTTGAGTAGATACAAGTACAAAGTAAAATGCATACAAGGAACTAAATATTCAATTTATACTTTGATAAATGAACCATCTGTCACTAAATTCTTACTCAACATCAATCATTTCAAGCGAGAAATTATACAAGAACACAACAGCATACGTGAGACTGTCAGTGCCATTAATCCACAAAATTCCTCCCTAATCTGTAATCCCCAATATTCATTGATTGCTATGCCAACCGCGACTAAAACCATCTCCAACGCTTTATTACCTGTGGAGCGGTTTATGTATGAGTCATACTCTACGAAATGCCGGCATGGCAGATGAACAAAGCAGACTGCCTCACTTCATCATAGAAAATACTCTCCACACAAACAGGTGATAAAGTGTGAAGAAAGGGAAGGGGTTTTTGTTACAGCCAAGATTGATTTCAGGAGCCTTTCACACGACAAAAGAAGTATCAAATTTACAGCCTGAGCCCCGAATGGCCAACAAGTTATTTTTACATTGAACATCTTTTACATGTAATACATAAAAAAAATTCTGTGTCTGTTCCATAAGGACTCAACTTGCTATGTTGATTACATAGTGCTTCATGTCGTCTCCAAAAAAAATGGTACAATCGAAAACGATTTTTTTTTCTCAACATAAGTAAGTCGTTTTGAGCATCACATTAAAGAAAAAAGACCAGGCTTTCCAATACTTTTTGTTTCACCTCATTTGCTTTTGTCAATCCAGAGATAACTCCAGTTTACTGCGGAACACAAAAATCGAGTTTGTTTCTTTTGCCAAGTTGCAATCTTTTGTGAGCTTCAAGACAGCATGGCACAGTACTCGAAACAACTCTGCCCATGCATAAAAGTGGCACAAAATCGATTTTGGTGTATCGCACTAAATTGATTATATCTCTGAATTGACAAAAGCAAATAAGATCAAACAAACACTATTGGAAAGCCCAGTCTTTGTTCTGTAATATTATGCCAAGTAAGAATGACTTATTTTGAAATTTCATATTTAACCAATTTTTTGTCTGATTGTACCATTTTTTTGGAGACAGGCTGTGGAGTAAAGGACATAATGGTGGTACCGTACTCAAAAGAGCATTTACGCGCACACTGTAAGCTGTCCTAATTTTTAAAAAAATATGAGAATATAAAATTAAAGGAAAGTCGAAGAACAATTGTCAATAGAACTACCAGTACATGTAACATACAGTCTACATGTACTAAGTTGTTGTCGATAATTTTATTAAAGGTCTAGCCATTTTAGGGCCAAACCTGTGTGTTACTGTGCATTTTACTGATAAACAGCAAACCTTTCAGTGTTTCAAATGTTCAATTTCATGCGCATGCTTTATTAATTAAATATTTTAGCATTTGAAGGGTGCATCACATAGAATTGACAATAGTTTTTATTCTACGTCCATTAGGCCAAAAAAAAAAAGTCTACGGTTTCTGGTATGGAGCTTGCCCCAAAAGTGGTGCGGTGACGCGGCTTTTTTTTTTTTTTAACCTGTTTTTTTTTTTTTTTTTGGCTTCAAATGTCGGCTGATGACTGCAAATGGTGCCCGACTAAACTTAGTGCAAATATATGGGAGTCCAGAGAGGCCACATAAATCTTATTCTCGATCATAACCCAATCTAAAAACACGTTAAAATTGTGCAGCAGCAGAATTCCAGTCAAACCAGTGAGTTTGGCGGTTTTGAAACATCATGTTGTATTGAAAAAAAAACTTTTTCATTTTGCCGACGCGCATGGCTACGGCGACGCGCGCGCATACCAGAAACCGGAGACTTTTTTTTTTTGGCCTTACAGGTCTTCATTACATTCCAAATATTGATGATACTTCACAACAAAAGCCAACTGAGTCAATTATTAAACGGAGACACTTCATTGTATTGCATTCAAGACAACACAAAGCATTTTTCTGATGAAAGCATCTCCGACAGATTGCTATGAATTGAATTCAAGCATGACACTGATTGAAGCATATCGTCCACCCACAATTAGTAGATGATACGCATACACCCCCTGGGGAATGCTTCCATATGGTGTAGACTCTCCCAGGATTTATAATCAGATCAATTGGGACAAGAATGGCAAAAAATGAGTGATTTAATTTGAAGAATGTTTATGTAAGCTACTGGTACATGTACATACAACTGAACATGTACGGTCTAGGGAAGGTGAATCCACCTTTGCTAGCTAAAATGAAGCAATTTAAAAGCAGTAAATTTGATGAATTTACAATGTAGTGAATGATATCCTGTGGTACAAACGAGTCTCATCAATGACTCAGAATCATTTTTGGACACTGTTTAACCCAGTTTCAATGCAAGCTACATGTGTCACAGAGTGGATGATAAAGTATGGTCAGATAAACAAATCAAAAAACATTATCACAGGAAACAGCCCAAATTGGAGCTATTTAATTACAAAATTTGTTGGAAGCATTACATGACACAAGTTTGACTAATTCTTATGTAACCCCAAAGAAATCCCATTTTAATACTGCTTTAACGGTGCATGATTGAGAGGAGCTTCACGAACCTGAAAAATAATTTTTCCAATAAGTAAATAAAGAAGGAAAGAAACTAGCAGGAATTAAGACAAGCTTACCCAAAACGATGTGAATTCAGCAGAGTACATGTGAGGATATATAAAGGCTGGCTGAGCCATGAAGAATCGTGGCTTGCGCGAATGACAACAAGTGAATCATAAAAGAACATTCAGGAACATCTAGGATCATGTACACCTGTACAACCACTATGCTACGGCCTCATCCCTGCACTGTATGACCACAACATGTGAGCAATATTTCCCCCGCTCCCAAATTGACCAGACACATCCGCCGACAAAATATGCCGCGCATCTCTCCTTCAGATGAACGAGGGTCGGAAAAAAGATGCCCTCATGCATAATCATGACCTGCGGTTGTACAGGTTGCTGATGTCAGAGCCCGTCGCTAAGCAACCACTCCTAATTGTCATTAAAATGGTAAATTCTGCATGGACAGCTGCACGTTATAATGGGAATCCCATCCTATGCTGGTTACGGGCAAGGTGGGCAGAACTAATCAACATTTGAATTTAATAAATTAACACACTGAGTTATTTTCGCCAAGCCTGGTGTACATGTACATACATTTGTACATATTTTTTATCAGAAAACTGACAGTGCATAGGCTTTTCATTTGTAATGTACATGTACAGTGTACATAAGGAAATTACATACATGTACATGTATTCATGTACATGTAGAGGACATTGAAGGAGTAAACGTACAAAGTCATCTTTATCCAGTTTAGTAACAAAAAAAATACCAAAACACAATTACATACATGAACATGTACACACATTACCAAGCTTGTGCGCATGTTGCAGACATGTAGTTTTTTTGCACTGGTGTCCTTGATGTTTGAGATTTTTGTTGGGGGGAGGGGGGCAGGAGGGGGGAGGGGGAGGGGGGCAGGAGGGGGGAGAGGGAGGGGAAGGAAGGGGAGCTTTAAAGTTTAATGAGTGCATGCAATGTGGTACAGCTACATTATATCACCTCTGGATTAGAATTACTGATAAAAATGTATTTTCAAAAATAATGATGTACATGTACATGTACTTCAATACGATTAAATTGCTGATAGACTGTACAAGGTACACAGTGATGGCATTTTCAGGTAACCAGGAAGTGACAGCAATAGATAAAGCAAATCAATACATTCCACAACCTGCACTGAGACCTCACCATTAATATGCTGCATTTAACATGTCATTAAAAACCAATCGATCACGATGATCAGCAAATGTAAGACTGTGTACTAAACATGGAGCAGTGTTTAATATTTATGCCTAATTTATATTTCATAATTTTTTAACTAAATTGATCGAGATCAGTTTTCGTGATGTTAAAAAAATTTAAACACATGTACATGTATCTAATTTCTATTGTCTAAACATTTACATGCAAGCAACCAGGTAGCCAAGTCCAAGATACTTGTGTATGCTCTTTCACTTATTTACATGTATTTACATGTATTTACATTATTTAATAAAATTATCTTTGGTGAAAAGTGTGTCACGCTGTAAGTTTTTCCTTCTTCATGAATTTGAAATGAGTTGAAAACAAAATTTACCCCTCGCTTCAATAAAGGTTAAAATCTGTCGTAAACATTGGATCACTGAGAATATTTCTAGTCTGCAGAACTTCATCAATTTTTCCCACCCACTCAGACTCTATTCCATCTCAAGATCCTAAAATGTCACACGACACTGGCAACTAAATTATGGAAGAATTTATTCACGCTTGAGTGAACATT